CTAATTAAGGGGCTGATGTCTTTGCTTTTCTCTCTGTTTGGAGTCAAATATCACGTTGGTCCCAGCATAGCTATTGGCGCGACATCTTGCCGGCATTACCTCGTGCTCCAGGACGGCCAGGCAGCATGGTCACATCGTTCGGCATTCAGCATTTCGTCGTCATAGTTTTGTCTTGACAACGTTTTGTTTTGCATGCGATGATTCAAATCAAAATCGCACTGGCTGGCGTGGCGGGTAACGGCATTTAGCGCCATCCGCTTGCGCGGGGGCAACGCTTCAATCTTGCTTTAGCGGCATCAACCCCTTCCCTCAGCCTAGGAGTTCCATCCCCTCCCGAATTTTCCCGTCCTTTCATAGGCTATGTAGCAAGGCAGGAACGCGCCGTTGCATCTTTAGCTCCGGCTTTGGAACACCGAAGTTCCTTCGCTTGTGAGAATGGATCTTCTCAAGAGAATGGCATCCGGAATGAGGCCGTTCGATGCCTAGAATCTTTCCAGGGGCAGTTTGCTATATAGCCTTGGTAATTCTGTCGATGTAGGGGTCAGCAACTACACCTCATCGGTCGCCTATTGATCGCCTAGTGTCAAGTTATTGTATATAATCTCTTGGAGATGTCGTCACTCGCTAAATTCATCGCGGCGGCCGCCGTTGGCATCGCCATGGCTCCAATTGTCTCAGCCGCCGGGAACGTCACAGTCAAGGAGCTCACCGGTGGCTGCTCCGTGTATCCGGATTACGACGTCTCCGCCGGCCAAGCGGGGCCGTGGTCGATGCAAGTAAAGGATACCGACGGCGTTATCGACGACCACGGCCTGACCGCCATTTACTCTCGCGGCTCGACTGGCATCCGATGGGGATACGTAAGTTTACATCCGGGCGCCACCACCCGATTGGCCAGGGGTTTGAATTCACGTCACTAACCATCTTCATCCAGATGGCTGCGCTTGACAAGGCCGCCGTGGCTCAGATTCCGCTCCAGTGTGTCGACGGCCAAGGCATTCAGGCCCGGGTACCCACTGGTGTCTCGGGCTACACCTGGGAGAACCTCGTGGCCGCAGAAATTCCGTACGACGCTCTACTCATGTACTTCGTCAACGGTACCGAAATCAAGCCGTACTCGCATTACACACTCAACGGCACGCAGATCGACGGAGTCTTCCTGGGCTCCGAGGGCTACACGACATGGGGTTTCAAGAAGGAGACGACTTCCGACCAGGGAACTGTCTGGGAGGCCAGGTTGTTGGGCGCCAATAGTGAGGATCCTTCGACTGGCAAACCGCTGTTCGATGGGGAGATTACTGGCTTCCTCAAAGTTTATGGCTCTTGAACTCTCCGCCTAGCTCACCCGGTGGGAGATGTCACCACATCGAGATAAGCAGTTCGGTGAGGGAGGTCATCCGACTTGTTGATATTCCTGCGAAAGGGCCGAACACACCAACTATTCCCTCTTGGCTGTACTAGGTCTCAAGAGTTGTTGTTTCTTCTTTTTCTTCTACCACGTTGTCACGTTCATTCTTCCATCCAATGATATGCCGCTTGGACCGCGATTGAGAGTCAAGATGCCACAAATAGAAGGTTTCGAAACATTACAGATTGGCCGGACTTGGACCGCATGACAATTGAGGGCGTCTTCAATTCTCCAGTGAAAGAGAAACCTAGAAAGACTGGAAATTTATCTGTACAATGTGCCAAATCATGCCGAGAGCAGTCTTGCTTTTTGACGTAGGTTCCCGATATGGAACCATCTTATTCTGCCCGATAGAACGAGTCGACGAAGTGTAACTTGAGTAGCCCTTCCTAAACCTCTAGAGACGCATCGATGCGACCAGACTAATAAGCGACGTCGCGTCCCACTACGTCGCACAGATCGTTTGGTATCCTCCTGATGATCAGACTCGCGAATACGAAACCGGTAACGTCGTTTTGCTCTCGTTTACACGGGAACCTCACTCGATGAACCTTGGTTCGGACTTTTTCGTCAGTCCGCTTGGCCCAAGCCCTTCACACTGTCTCGCCCCTCACCCCGCGTTTTTGTTACCTCTGACCCTTTGTCCCGCGGCAGCGCTAATGCATGCCCATCAGATCGAATCCTTCTTCGTCCCGTTGATCGGCGCAGGGGGTGGTGGTTGGCGGAGAAGACAAGATGCGAGCCATGCTCACAGCCCACCATCTTTCCCTCTTTCCCCCGGCCGGTAGTTGGGCGGTTCCACCCGGTTTCGCAATCCGCGGGCGAGTTTCACGCCGGCCACTTACTAGTTTATGCTCGTAGTTCGTCTCCCGTCGGCTGTGTTGGTGGCATTCGTCACGGTGGTGGCGGGGTCCCCAGGACGTACTCGATGGTTGCTGTCAAGCTTGCAGCTAAGCGGACGTGGTGGAGGGTACAGAGGAATTATATTACACCCTTATGTCCCATCTCTTTCCTGAGTCTAAACTTCTTGTCCGAGCACATCATCATCGCAACCTGTCAACCACCCAAGATGTCGATGTCGATGCTTCCCAACATGAACGCCACAGCCGGTGCTGCCGTAGACGGCGCACTGTTTATCGAAGTGGCTCAAAGATGGCCTGTCGCTGCCACCGCTGTATTTGCATGTGCTGTCGGACTTTTGCTCCAGACAATCCTGAAGAGCGACCCATGGGCAGATATCCCCATGGTGGGAACAGAGTTTGGAGGATCCGAGGCCCGACGAAAGCAGTTCATGAATGGCGAGGCTAGGAATCTATACCTTAATGGATACAGGAAGGTAGGGCCGATACCAATACGTTGTGACAGGCAAAATAGATGGTTAACAAGACATACCCACAGTTCAAAGAGAGAGCTTTCCGCATCACAACGGCAAGGAGTAAGCTACAGGTTATTGAGGAGAAAGATCGTCAGTGCTAAGTCACCCACAGAATCGCCAAACATTGTTGTCGCCCCGAAATTTATGAACGAGCTGAAGAAGCTTCCCGATGACGTCTTAAGCTTCAACCGGGCTATCGAAGAGGTCAGTTTGGAGCCATCATCGTGAGAGGAAAAGCCTGGGCTAATGGATCGTTACTAGTCAATGCACGCCAAGTACACAGGTGTAGACACCGATATCGATTTGCTTCCCCATACCGTCAAGACTGCGTTGACACCAGCTTTGGGTACGTCATACCTGTGTGACGCATTTTTTCCAGCCCCCCTAGTAACCGTGGAGACTGTCCAGTCCGATTGAACCCGATTATCGCCGACGAAGTTGTCGAAGCTCTGCGAACAGAGCTCCCCCAATCATGCGACTGGACCGAGGTCAAGATCATGGACAAGATGATGCGCGTCATCGCCATGGCATCCGGGCGCGTCTTCATCGGACCAGAGCTCTGTCGAAACGAGGAATACCTCGACGCTGCGATCAACTACACCCTCGATCTGATGAAGGCCGTTCGAAAGGTTGCTGATATTGCTCCATGGCTGCGCCCCTTCTTGGCGGCGAGGACCCCCGAGGTCAAGAAGGTCCACTACCGAATCGAGGAGGCCGACAAGTTCCTGAGACCCGTAGTAACAGCAAGGAAGGAGGCCGAGAAGAGCCCTGACTACCAGAAGCCAGATGATATGCTCCAATGGATCATGGAGTCGCAGAAGAAGTTTGGCGAGAAGAACGACAGAGAGCTTGCAAGGTATCAATTGGGAATCAGCTTCGCTGCTATCCACACTACGACTGTTACCACGACCAACGCGTAAGTATCTGGACACTGCGAGTAGTAATGGTACTGAGATGATGCTGACTCAATGGGTCAAGTCTCTACACACTAGCTGCTATGCCTGAATTGCTTCCCATGCTTCGGGATGACATTCAGCAAGCGTTGGCCGGGAGCAACGGGGTCTTCACGAGCGGCGCCATGCAGAACATGAAGAAGCTAGACAGCTTTCTCAAAGAGACCATGAGATACTACGCGCTTGGTCCCAGTAAGTGTACAGCCGAACCCCGTCAGCCTGTTTAACTCACTCATCACCGTACAGCATCATTCCAGCGCAAGGTCCTCAAGACATTCACCCTATCAAACGGTCAGGTTATTCCCGCCGGATCCGTAGTCGAATTGCCCGTGATCGGCATCAACAACGACGACGAGATCTTCCCCGACTCCGAGAAGTTCGACGCCCTGAGATTCTACAAGCTGCGTCAAGCCAAGACGGAACAGGACACCGGCTCAAAACAGGCCGAGGTTGTGGCAAACGCCCAGTTCGTCAGTGTGGGACAGACCAGCTTGACCTTTGGATACGGTCGTCATGCATGCCCGGGTCGCTTCTTCGCTGTAAATGAGATCAAGATGATCATGGCGACAACGCTGGCCAACTACGATATCAAGAACATTGGAGACAGCACGGAACGATACAAAAACTTGGAATTTGGCGCAATCGTAAGTGAATCCAGTTTGATCGTGAGAAGGTCCGGGTTGCTAACAATTGTCAGACTCAACCGGATCCCGACAGGAAGGTCTTGCTGAGGAAGCTTTAGTGGCCACCAGGGAAGGTCATCATAGTCAATGACATACTTTAGCAGTGTAGGGTAGTATATGTGCATCGTACCACATGATAATTGAAGTATTTGGATGCTACCTGGAAGCTAAATCGATACATGCACAGACGGACTACTCGACTGACTGCGTAAGATAAACGAAGGCATGAAAGACTTATGAACTTGTCTTATAGCTTCTTAGTACACGATGCAAGGCCAAAATTTATCTTTATCCATTTACGCCAAGGCATGAAGTATTCCTTCTTTACCAAGTCCCAAACTTGAGTAGATCTAATCCTACATGCTTCGTAAGTCTATCAAGGCTTCATCGCCAAAGAACAAAGAGAAAAGAAACCCATCAAGGGCAAATCGCAAACATAAAAAATTGACTGCAATCAATTGACAGGATCGTAAGCCCACTCCCTCCAATTCTCTTCGCTCGGTTTTCTTGCCCCCGCTGGTGCAACTGGAAGCTCTACTCTTGCCTCTCGGGTCTCCTCAACGCCGCCGTGTTGACTTCCTTCACCTACGAAACCCCTGCTGACCAGCTGCTCCTTGGTAAGGCTCGTAGCGTGGGTCCTGGTATTGCTGTTGTTGCGGTTTCGGGTATTGTCCGCTCTCCATCAGGTATCCTTCGTTGAGCACCTCTGAGCTAGAGACTTGCTTCAAGCCGGTAGCCTGGGCGTTGATAACACGACTTGGGTGGAACCAATTGAAGGCCATAGACGTGATGCCCATCAGTGTCGCATCAAAGATGTAGATGTACATCTCCTTGGCCTGGAGCTCGCTGTCCTTGCCTCCTATGTATTCGGCAACACGGAAAAGCGATCGGACCATGATGAAGAAACTGGTGGCGTAAAGAACGTAGAGAAGACCCTTCCACGGTGTCTGAACCGTATGAGACTTGGATGTAGGGTTGCGAGAGAGACGAATATGGAAGACGAGTGTGACGACGATGAAGAAACCAAAAAAGAGGATCTGGATCCCGAGACCACCGACAATGATGTTCTCGCCCAGCTTGACATTATCGCTGTTCTTGGCTGTTGCCAACATGCCACCACCCCCACTCTGTGCGAAGAAAGACAGCACATCTCCTAGCACAAAGACCTTGGTCAACCACTTGGGTCTAATCAAGGAGTATTCCCCGGCATCGAGAAGGTTAATTAGACGACCGAGAACCATGTAAATCGACGCGGCGAATAGTGCAGGGCCGAGGAGGAGGAGAATCGACTGGATGATGTAGGGGTTCTTGGTATAATCGGGTGCTTCTGATGCGGACATGGCTCGGCCAACGTAACCAACTGCTTCGACTAGGGAAATGTTAGTCGAGTCATGCTTGGAGACGGGAAACGGGTTGGACTTGGAGTCTTGGACAACTTACATATGCACCCAATCACGAAGGGAATGAAATACCACGTCTTGCGTCGACATAATTGCCAGATGTGCAGCATACCGGAAACTCCAAACACAATAATAAAGACAGTTGCCGCTACTATAGACGGCTCATAGTGGTAGAAAACGAAGCCGGTGGAAGCAGTTTCGGTGGTGGTGCTGTTGTCCGCCATCGTGACGAACTGAATGCCCCCTTGGCGCAATTAGGTAGCAACTTTGGCTTTGAATTGAGTTTGGGCGGGCCGAACAGTTTAGCTTCAGTTATTCGAATGCTTAAATCTCTAGGCGATAAAGACCGTGTTCCGTATGTTCGTGTAAAGATTGTGGGCGGGTGGTGTGATAGCTTGTTGATTGACTTCTACCATCATTCCCAATCGGTCCAAAGACCTCGATATAAGTAAGTCCTTACGTTCATCTCTAAAGTCTCCCCCTTTACCCCTTTGCGTTTGCATACGAGTGTTGTTGTGATGCAAATCAGCCTTGACACGAAGAGGCCCCTGGCGCTAGGCAAACTGAGCCTCTGAGGGATGGCATTTGCAGATTTTCAGATTGTACGCGGAGCATTAGTAGGGCTGAGCCACGTTGGTCAAGCAGTTTGCGGCACTCTCCGTACGCGTATGATCTGAGTCTAGCCATTGGTCAGAGGGCGAAGCCATCAGGCCCGGGAAACGGTGCCTAATCCGGCGAAATGCGCAAAGTCTTTGCAGCAGTGGGGAGAGACCCAAGTTTAGAGCTCCGAACTAAGGTGACTAGCGACAAACGATCTATCCGCGCATTCTGTGTTGGTCGTATACGCGTATTCGTCACTTTTGATGCAGAGAATGCGACAACCCGCGGGTTGAGAATGAACCAATTAAAAGTTTGAAGCAGTATCCACTTGTTTGATAATTAAGCATTGACGGGCGCCCCATCACGGATCGAGACAACAAGCCCACACCCCTCAGTTATTTATGGCCTTGATGCAACGGGAACATGCCGAACCCGCGGCTCTTCGCAACTAGATATGCCCGAAGGAGCTTAAAGATCTTTAGAAACACAATCTTTTACGTGGATTCGCACTTTCACGCGTTGTGGCGCGGCTCAAACTAGGTACCGGGCTCACAAAGTCTAGTCTCTTTAGCGCTCCCGTTCGAGGCTTCGCCCTACGGAATACCCGAGTCAGGTACGAGATATGCGACTGAGTCTACAGACCCACGGAAGGGTGATGTGGCGGCGTATGATGTAAGTAGTGAGCGGTAGGTGAATATTTGATAAAATGTTTGATTGCCTGGCTGAAATGCCCCGAGACCCCTCCCTGATATGTGATTTCACCTTCTTCTTGTGACTGTCCTCGAATCATACTGTGCTATTGCCCCTTCTCTTCTTGATTGATTCAGCGATTCACCGATATTTTCTCTTTCGATACCGATTGTCAATTCTCTACTCCAGCTACGTTTACAAGACGGTGGTAACTTCACCCTTTACAACTGCAAAGTCGAACTTCGTCCCACTCCGAGAGTGCAAGATGTCGAAGCGAAACACAATCAGGATGATGGAGGACGATCCTGTTCCTCAAGACTACCTTCCATCCTACGAGTCGGCGATCAGCGAAGGACTCCAGCAACATAGCGAAAGTGTCGGAAGTAGGAAACCCACCAACCCATCAAGCAAACCTTTTGATTGCATCCTAACCAACAAAAATCACATCAGCGGACGGCAGAATCAACGTAAACCTTGACTCGCGACTGGCAACAACCCTCGCCCGCTTCGTCCCCGACTTCAAAGACCCAGCCCACCTTGCACAAGCAGCAGCCGCTGAGGGGCCCCCACCAGAATACTTCGAAGCAGCGGAGCGTTTCGCCGAAAAGAAGACGTTTCCCGTCAAACTCAACATCGTGATCCAAGTCGTGGGAAGTCGTGGCGATGTCCAGCCCTTCATCGCGCTCGGAAACGAACTTCAAACTTACGGCCATAGAGTACGCCTAGCAACACACGACGTCTTTGACGATTTCGTCCGTAAATCCGGCCTCGAGTTCTACCCCATCGGCGGTGACCCCTCAGAACTGATGGCTTACATGGTCAAGAACCCCGGTTTGATCCCGAGCCTGAAGAGCTTGAAAGGCGGCGACATCCAGAAGAAGCGCAAGATGGTCAAGGAAATGCTGGAAGGGTGCTGGAGGTCGTGTATTGAGCCCGATGACCAGACTGGAACACCGTTTGTGGCGGATGCAATCATTGCTAACCCGCCGAGCTTCGCACACGTCCACTGCGCCCAAGCTCTGGGTGTGCCGCTACATCTCATGTTTACCATGCCTTGGAGCAGCACGAGAGCGTTCCCGCATCCCCTGGCAAATCTCAAGTTTGGAGACAAGGGAGTTGTTGACCAGATGACGGCGAACTTTGTGTCCTACAGTGTTGTCGAGTGGTTGACATGGCAAGGGTAAGCAATTGTACCAGCCGTCGTTGATGTCTTGTGCTAACGATTTTCCAGACTCGGAGATGTTATCAACGATTGGAGGCGGACGATCGATCTCGAAGAGGTGCCGTTCTCCGAGGGCCCGGTCCTCGCAGAGTCGCAAAAGATCCCATTCACCTACTGCTGGTCCCCATCACTTGTCCCGAAGCCAATTGACTGGCCTGCTTACATCGGTAAGATTAGTCTGATTCACCCATTGCGCAAGATGACTTTGTGGCAGGGACTGATCTGTGACACAGATGTTTGCGGCTTCTTCTTCCGCGAACCGCCCCAGTACGAGCCGCCCACAGAGCTTGCGAACTTCCTCAAGAATGGTCCGACTCCCATCTATATCGGCTTCGGGAGTATCGTCATCGACAACCCCGACGAAATGACAAAGATCCTCGTCGAAGCTGTACGCGCAACGGGCGTTCGGGCCATCATATCAAAAGGATGGAGTAACCTTGGAGGCATCGACGCAGATGACATCCTGTTCCTGGGAGACTGTCCACACGAGTGGCTGTTTGCCAATGTTGCGGCGGTCTTCCACCATGGTGGTGCGGGAACCACCGCCTGTGGCCTGTCGAACGGAAGGCCAACCACAATCGTCCCTTTCTTTGGAGAGTAAGTGCTATAGAGTGGTACGAGAGGCTCTACACAGGTCGAAGCTAATAACTACCAGTCAACCATTCTGGGGAGACATGGTTGCTATCGCAGGTGCCGGGCCAAAGCCCATTCCACACAAGCAGCTCAATGCGCAGAACTTGGCAGATGCGATCCGATTTTGCTTGACGCCGGAAGCCGCAGCTGCAGCTGGCGAGCTTGCAGCGAAGATGAAGACGGAGAGTGGTGTGGCCACGGCGGCCAAGTCGTTCCACGCCAACTTACCCCTGAATATGCTTCAGTGCGATATTTTCCCCAACCAGCCCGCAGTGTGGGAGTTCAAGAGAGGCAAGAAGCACGTGAAGCTGTCAAAGCAAGCTGCGGGCATTCTTCTTGACCACCTCAAGATTGGCCAGAAGAACATGTCACTGTGAGTATCTGCAAATTCTGCTCCTCTGAGTTGAATGTATACTAACGACACTTTCGCTTTCAAGACACGAAACAAAAACGTACATCATCGAGAACCGCCGGTGGGATCCCTTCACAGGCACAGCCTCATCCTTGATGGGAGTGGGATACGGGATGGTCAAGGGCGCCACTGACATCGTTGTCAAGCCCGTCCAAGTCTACAACCAGCGATCCAAATTAAAGGCTGCAGAGATGGAAGATATTGAGAGGAGAAGTGCCAGAAGTATGTCAAGCCTAGACGTCCAGACGCCACCCCGATCACCGAGTCTTGCGCCTCCACAATCCGACGCTCTCGACCGGCCCCGAAGCGCCGGCCGAGGCTGCGGAAGCACAACGGGCGCGGTATTCAAGGCATCAGCCTCCGGCGTTGGTACCTTCTTCAAGTCATACGGCAAATTCTATCTCGAAGTACCATTGGCCGTCACGGAAGGTCTTCGCGAGGCACCTAAACTCTACGGCGCGAAGGTGGAGAACCGCGCTGCCATCACTGATTGGAAGTCTGGCGCAATGGTCGGCGGCAAGAACTTTGTTACTGGACTCGGGGGAGGTTTCGCCGATTTGTTTTATCAACCGTACAAGGGCGGGCGTGATGGAGGTGCTGCGGGCGCAGCGTTGGGCGTCGGCAAGGGAGTCATGAACATGGCGACAAAGACAGCATCCGGTAAGTCTGGTGATTTGCGATATTTGTTCCTGCCAGTGGACCCATGGTGCTAACACTTTTCGACACAGCTACTCTCGGAATCGTCACGTACCCCACCCAGGGCATCTACCAAAGCATTCGAACAGCAGTCAAGTCCAAGACTCGACAGAGTATTGCTGCTGCGAGACAAGTCGAGGGCGAATACCTCGCCCGCAACATTGAGGTCGATATCCACCAGACACTACAGAGATTTGATGAGATTTGCGTCGCCAGTGAGAAGGAGAAGAAGGGCAAGGAACGTGAAGGAGGAAACTTTTTCGATTTTGGACGGAAGGGAAAGGACAAAGATACCCATGCGACTTTTTAGATAGAGAATAGAGACTGATCGACGATTTCAAAGGCATAGATATGGAGTGAGAGGTATTAAGTGGTCTATTCAAGGCCGGCTGACCGGGTATCAAACTTCGCCAGCACCATAGCTACCATCTAGTATTTAGATTACATGTAAGAAAGTTATACGCACACATTATTCTAGATTCCTTCTTTCCCAGGACCCGCATCCACAATTTTCATTGCCCTTCATCTTTCATTCTTCGCTAGCGACTTCGATTATCTCCTAGCCATGAACCTCATCTTCATGGGGTGTGCAGGTTCTGCCGCGGGCTCAGCTGGGGGGTTGATTGGTGTGAATCCGATGGAAGGGATCTGATGAGCAGGGGGCGCGGCCTCAGCGGGAGGCGCTACGTGAGCTGGGGGAGCAATTGCCGGGGCCTCGTGAATGGGAGGGGCTGCAGCAGGTGTGTGGACTGGGGCAGCCTCTACGGGAGGTGTGTGTACCGGCATGACCTCAGTTGGAGGCGTATGAACAGGCATAGCTTCGGCGGGCGGCGCTTGATGAGCTGGGGGCGCTACTGGTGCAGGGTGCTCGACCGGCGGAGGAGTATGGACTGGAGGGGCCATGGTGTGGGCCGGAGGGGGAGCTTCGTGAACTGGTGGTGCGACCGGTGCCGCTGAGGGATGAACTGCCGGAGGTGGAGACGGCTGATGGCCCAAGACTGGCGCTGCGATTGTTGTTGCGCAGTGGCTGACCGTCTGGGTGACGTGAACCGTTTGGTGGATGACTTGGGGAGGTTGCGTTACGTGTACGGTCTGCGCAGGCTGAGGAACATGAATCGTCTCTTTGATGGTGTGAGGAGGCTGCGTAACGTGGACTGTTTCCTTGATAACGTGGGGAGGTAAGGTGACATGAACTGTTTCCTTGACCACCTGAGGAGGAAGGGTAACGTGTATTGTTTCCTTGACGACTTGAGGCGGCGCTGTTTGATGGATTACCTGGGGAGGCAAGGTTACATGAACCATCTCCTTGACTGGAGGTAAAGTGACGTGAATAGTCTCCTTGACTATTTGAGGCGGCAGAGGCGGAAGAGTCTCCCTGATTACCTGAGGAGGCTGCGTGATATGAACAGTCTCCTTGACAACTTGGGGAGGCAGGGTCTCTTTAATGATTTGAGGAGGCAAGGTGACGTGTACTGTCTCCCTGACTGGAGGCAGGGTGACATGAATGGTTTCCTTGACAATCTGAGGAGGCAGAGTCTCCTTGATGATTTGAGGCGGTTGAGTGACGTGTATCGTCTCCTTGATAACTTGCGGAGGCTGAGTGACGTGGATCGTTTGAGGAGGCAATGGAGGCAAGGTAACGTGTACAGTCTCCTTGATGACTTGAGGAGGCTGCGTGACATGGACAGTCTCTTTAATCACCTGGGGAGGCTGGGTGACGTGAATTGTCTGAGGAGGCAGAGGGGGTAAGGTAACGTGTACGGTCTCCTTGACGATTTGAGGAGGCTGGGTGAGATGTATCGTCTCTCTAATGACTTGAAGCGGTTGAGTGACATGGATTGTCTCTTTAATCACTTGAGGAGGTTGAGTGACGTGGACCGTCTGGGGAGGTAGAGTGACGTGTATCGTCTCCTTGACCACCTGAGGAGGGAGAGTCTGGACCTCCTTCTTCGTTTCGGTGATATGAATCGTTTCTTTGACCACATGCGGGGGCAGAGTGACGTGTATCGTCTCCTTGATAACTTGAGGAGGCTGAGTGATGTGTACAGTCTCTTTGATTGTCGTCGGAACATGAACGGTGACGTGTACTGGAATCTTCTCGTGGACTGTCTCGACCTGGTGTATCGTCGTCGGAACGGGAACGTGGACTGTTTTTACTTCCCCCGGCAGCGTGACGTGTACCGTCTTGTGAATTGTCGTAGGAACATGAACAGTCTCGTGGACAGTGTGTACAATCGTCTCGGTCTTGGGCTCGCATTGCTGCTGGGCTGGAGGGGCTGCCGGAGGATTGGCGGCTGCCAGAGTCGACAGGGCGAGCCATGAGATGACTCCGTATCGTGTGAGCATCGTGTCTTTGTCGAGTAGTAAGGACTGGTTGAATAGGACTTTGGGTGATTGTCGGTATGATGTAAAGAAAGAAAGTCACAAGAAGGAATAAAGGAACGTAAGAGGTCTGAACGGAGTCGAGATACCGGTCTCTGAATGAAATGAATTGAAGTAAACAAATTGTAGCCAAGTGATGGCCACTGAGAAACGAATGAAGACGGGCGCGCGGGTGAATGGAAGAGGTGGTGACAGTCCTGCTGATCACTGCAGACCAAGACAAGAAGGGGGGAAAGTCATTATATCAGGAGGGGTCTGGTTCATCGTCGCCTTGGCTGATGAACATGGCCCGCCGCCCGCAGTATCCGGTGCACGGAATCTCGGATGCACGGGTTGTTGTGATGGCACGTCTTTCCGGATCTAGGTCAGGTCTAGGCATGGGCGTGTTGGAGCTTGGTGTGAAGGAGGCTCGCGAGGTATCGTCATTCGTGGAGTGCTTTGACGAGGGTCCCAGGCGAGTGTGTTAGAGACGTCGTGATTTTCGATGTTGTCCCTGGTGATGCTGAAGTCGGACAGGTTGCGGTGAGCGTGTAAGTCGAGTTGGTACAAGTCAAACTAACAAGTCAGCTGCAGATGTCTTACCAGCCAAGATGGGATCAAATGTCGCACTGCCATCTGAAGAGTGATGGGACGGATCCGTAAGAAGGGATGAAAACTAGGGACGCTCTGTTTTAGGTTTGCGGCTCTCGCAGGGGAGTATAGCCAGGGCTGAATCTGACGAACAAGTGAGGTTCAAGAACATCCGGGCACAGGCACTCGCGAGGCTTGGCCCGGATGCACGGGAGGCTTGGTATGCTTGGGAGTACCGGGGGTAGCTTTCGTAGCCATTGTCAACCCCTTAAGATCAGAAGTTCTTGCTCGGAATCATATCCTGCCGTTAGTGGACACGAAATCTCCTAGTTCTCATCATGGCTGAGCTGAAAAGATGAAACCCAGTATCGTCGGATGATTGTGGCTCTGCAGAAGGCGTCCAAGGCAGTAGCTGTTGTGATGGCAAGGCGATCACGACAACCATTCTTTCCAAGAATGTCACGGCAGTAAAGTGATGTTGGCCAAGGTCGTTGGCGCTTATGCCATGAAGGAGACATTGACTATCGGGCAGCGAAAGTTGATAAACCCCGTGGTTCACCGCACAACTTTCTTCTTTCTTTGCACTTCTGAAGAGTGAAGTTTGGTATTGCATGAAGCCATACGGGAATGTTTTCTTCTCCACAGACATCCACCCCCACGAACGGAACCTGACACACGTCAGCAGCCACTGCTGTTACCCTCAGGCTTTCCGAGGACGAGACGAACGTGGGTGGTGGCGTTCAGGGATGATCGGGAGCATGGCCCATTGCATTGTAACGCTGGGAAAACTCAACAAGCTTGCGAGTTCCAAGCTCCTAGTGCGTGTGAGGGCCTAGTTGGATTCTCCAGGTTAGGTCATCCGAAACCCCCGCCAAGATTAAGCCCCTGTAAGAGCCACAGTGGGAGATCGCGGGCAGACGTAAAAATTGGGCTGTGCGAAACAAAATCAGGTGAGATTCCACTTGGATGCCTGCTTGATGGACCAAGCCAGGGCAACATAATGATGCTCTGGGATGGTTCCGAAGTTTCGAAAGACTGGCAAGGGGAGGCCGTCGTGGTGGTTAGCAGTTAAGAGAGGTTAGGTTGGAGAAATTGGAGGTGGCAGAGGCAGAGTTTGAGTTAAGCATTAAGGTTATTTTGTTAGTGACCTCATCTGGGGCCCGTCCGCCCCCCTAGAACGGAACCCCAGCTGCTGGTCGGCTTCGTGGTGACCCGGGCCCCTTGCGAAGGCCAGACAGGGGCCGAGTCTACGGGAAACGGGCCTCTTTGCGCGGCCATACGCTATCGTTGACATACCGAAATCAGTGAGTACGACGGTGCTCCTGTTTTCCCAATGCGAATACCATTATATCATAAAAACCTGGTGAGCCCCTCGCCGCCTTTCGAAACTGGCTTACTCCTGCGCTTCAGATGTACGAGTCAGACGCCCGCAACCGTGGGGAAAGCTGCCATAACTGTCAAGTTGATCTGGACAATGGAGGTTGTATTTCAGCGACGCTACTTCCGAAATCTGTTGCCTTGTTTGCCGGCGAGAATCTGGAAGTTGACCTAAGCTTATTATGACGCAGCTTTTGTGCTTGACGACTATCAAGTGCCGCACCACATAGAGACGCGGCTCAAGATTTTGGTGGATCATGCCCCGTTTACATTGGTTCAGAGAATTGCATCTCAGTGCCTGTTTCCATCAACGCCAGCTTCGATAATCTTGACTCTTTACCTGATACCTACCTGGAGTAAGTAACTAAGTTAAACTTGGTAGATGAAAGCTTGGGTAAGAGATGCATGGAGTACGTGTTGCGTTTCTCGAGTTGAGGAATCTGGTCTTGCATGTACGGATAGAGCCCACGGCAGTGGACCTCAGCCAGGTCGTCAATCTTGTGCCTGTCCTGAGAGAGCATTGGCCTTCAGTAATCTTGCAGACATATTGCAGCAACATCTTGTACGCGGGGGAAATGCCCGAGTTGCTCATGCTTTGCTTCAAGATGTCAATGTAAAAATCTAAAAAGCTCAGAGATCATCAATAACAAGCCTAGCAATGATCACACGTAACTTCGTGTTGTCTTTGGTGGTTGCGTCTAGCCCGGCCGCTGTGCCTCGCTTACTTCACTCTTCACTGGAGCAGTGATACTTGGCGGCGTCTACTCTCCCGGAATCCGTTTCCCATTACGGTAAAACGGGCTTCGGAATTCTCAACAATCATCCACTACCACAAATACGAATTCCTTTGCGCGCAAGTGCTGATTTGCCTATCATCCTTCCATTGGAGAACGGTGTCAGTGCGGGTTGTCAAGATGGCAGCTTGCCGTGCTCCAGCGCTGTAATTCCTCACATGATCAACCCCGCTTTGACTAGTGGTCGCCAGGAAAAGCTGATGGCTCATCCAAAGTAACTTCATTGCACCATCCATCTGATCGTCGCTGTTGCACTCAGCTTGGATCACGACTAATCAATCCGTAGTATGCCTCGATCCTCGGTTGGCGTAATGGTTCGCTCGTCCAGGCCTGTCTGCCTTGATGCTGGCAGCCCTCATCTCAATAAAAGCACAGCACCGAGCCACTGTGATCTTTCCAACCGTTGCACATAAGTGACTGATCTTGTAGGAAGTTCAACTACTTACTCTAGTCCAACTAATCGAAAATTGGCAATATGGCCGATCTGAGATCAGCCGTGTACGTCGCGCCGCCGATTCCCTCCAAAGTCCCGGGCTCGAACGCGACGGCGACCTGGTCCCCAATCTCTTGCACCCTGATCTACTCGGCAAACGAAGCTGTCTTAGTAGACACGCCCATCACCATCAAGCAGACAGAAGAACTCATCACCTGGATTGAAAACATTGCACCAAGGCGGAAGCTCTCATACATTTACATCACACATGGCCACGGAGATCATTGGTTCGGCATACCTCTTCTGTTGAAGCGGTTCCCGGAAGCCGTCCCCGTCGCCACAGTCGGAACTATCAAACATATGGAGCAGCAGATTGAGAATGGAGTGTTTGACCAAATGTGGGAAGCCCGTTTCCCAGGCCAGATCTACCGACCCTTCACCCTTGCGCAACCTTTATCCCCAAAGAGCGGTGGAAGCTTCAAGCTCGAGAACCGCTGGGAGTTCAAGGCCATCGAGTGCGGACACACCGACACCCATGACTCGACTGTTCTCTGGGTCCCAGACCTCAAACTCGCCGTCTGCGGCGACGTAGTGTACGGGCAGTGTCATCAGATGTTGATGGAAGCGAACACGAAAGCCAAGCGCGAGGAATGGATCAGGGCGGTTGAAATCGTCGAGGCACTCAACCCTGCTTATGTGGTGGCTGGACATAAGATGGCTGGGGAGACTGATGGAATCTGGCACCTTGCTGCGACCAAGAAGTACATCCAAGACTTTGGCAAGATCCTCGAAAAGAACCCAAAGAATGAGAAGGAGCTGTTCTTAGAGATTTTGAACTTGTATCCGGAGAGGTTTAACCCGGGAGCTGCGCGTTTAAGTGCCATGGGTGCCTTCCAGGTTCCAAAGGAGTCACGTATCTAGGACCGTATTGAGGATGAGGAGTGCAAAGCATCCAATAAGACCGACTACATTGATCCCTTGCCCCAGTGACAGCCTTCAATACACGAATGATTCTCAAGTGGACATTCGATATCATGAATATTGGATTCGACGTATCTCGTGTAAGAGCATGCGTGTCATCATGCGAGCAAGATTCTGCAAACATGATCATGAATAGTGCACGTTGAAAGATTTCCCACTCATGTGCTGATATGTATTAATGTACCTTTCATCGTTTGTTTCCAGAGCAATGAGTAATCCCTCAGTGCATCGACGGTTCCCATCGAGATTTTGCTATGCCCTCAAAGCTGTCTCCTATTACGAATTTGTGATCCAGTTAAGACATGCTCACGAACCTCGGTGCTATAGAACCTGCTTGACTTGATGATCGGCGACAAGCAGAATATTGACACTTGAATGCGGGGTATGCATTGCGTGAACACATCGGTGTGACGTTTCAAAACAGCTTCTCCTGATCGACACTCGTTCGGAAGTCGTGATTACTGATATCTCGGTCCAGCAGCGGTGGCATTGCACGGACCCCGCTCCGGCGCGGTGTCCCACATCGGCCGGTAATGGCGAAAGCCGGTCGGCGACTCTTGAGCCTGCCCTTGAAGTAGACTATATCTAGTGCCCAAAGACTTGAGGTTCAATTCCAAACGAATCAGACATAAGTCAATAACATCAATTAAACTACTTCGTACCCAAGTTAAGTCACTAAGCAAGTCTTCAAAATGCCTAAATGGGTCTTCAACTGCAACGCCGGCGTCTTCACCCCCGCCGAAAAGAAACAAATCGCCGAGGGCATGACCAAGATCTACACCAGTGTCGGCCTGCCCGCGTTTTACTGCCACACGCACTTCATCGAGCTCGCCCCAGAAAATATTTACGCCGGCGGCGAGACGCCCAAAGCGTTGACGACCGTCTCCATCTATCATATTGCACGAGGCTTCGATACCCCACAGGTCGAGGCCTTCTTCTTCAAGGCTCTTGATGATGTGTTGAGGCCTATCTTGAAGCCAAAGGGGATTGAATGGGAGTCTGGGATTTATGAGGCGAGGAGGGAGTTGTGGAGGATCAATGGGCTCGTTCCGCCTGATACGGGGTCGGAGATGGAGAAGAAGTGGGCAAAGGATAATCGGGTTACGGACGAGGAGGACTTATTGAAAGTTCAAAGGCTTTCTAGGCTGTGATTTGCACAGTCAATAGTCGGTGATCTCGGTCTAGAAGATGAGCACCACTGATATCTACCTACGTTATCTTGGAATCTTGAAAAGCCTTTTAGTACTGCTTCACTTGTACGTCTATCGATGCTCTGAGCAAATACGAAGGCTTCATACACATTATCATTACTAATATTTACACAAAATCCATGAAAAGGCTGCTGACACTGGGGTACCTAAGCAGTAGTTGTCGGGTTAGGTTCAGGTGGGGGCGCAGCTCCAGCACCCCCTCCAAGCACAATTGAGAAGACTACCGGAGTGTTTGGCAGAATCTCGGTTGTGGCTATGGAGACAAGGTTCGAGCTCGTGATAGTGGGTGTTAAGGTTGTAGTACTAATGACTCTTGTAGTACTAGGGGTCCGAGGGTCTGAGGAACCCGCTGGCGAGACTGACAAACTTGGCGCAGAGATGACAGGCGTAGAAGAGCGTGAAAGCGAGCTCGAAATCGAGATTATCGAGGAGGTAGTTGGGATACCCGAGAAGGAGTCCGACGATGAGCTTCGTGTGGATGGGGATGACGAGGAAGGCGGCGAAGAGACCGGAGTCAATGAGTTTGGCAAGGCTGTAGACAAAGATGCTGGTACTGAAGTGGATGATAATGCAGGCGAGGAAGGTGAAGAGAAACTAGATGTTGTTGTCGATCGTGAGCTTGAAGGGGTAGTCGCGGGGGAGCTTGATGATGAAGCAGGCAGGGAGACTGGCGAGGGGCTCGATGCACTCGAGCTAGGAATGACGGGAGTCACCAATGATGGCAGTGATCCGGACAGAATGCTAGTCAAAGTGGCTGAAGGCAAGATGATGATCGTGGTTGAAGTAGACGGCAGCAAAGAGGGCAATGTCACAGGCGTACTTGTTGTGCTTGTACTTGGGGTGAAGGTGGTCGAAGCGATCCTGGATGTGTTGGCGAGGGGGAATGGGGCCGTAAGAGAAGTTGAGGTCGATGAAGAGGTGGATGATCTTGTCGAACTACTCGATGAGATTGTAGAAATCGAAGAGCTTGTTGTACTGCTGAACGAGGACGAAGTTGAGGTCATCGAGGTTGACGTGCTTGATGGGCTGATGCTGCTGGAACTACTGCTGCTCGTTGTAGACAATGTGGGAGAGAAAGTACTAGACGAGCTTGACGAGCTCGAGGTGCTCGAAGAACTGGAAGATGTCATGGAACTGCTTGAGCTTGAAGTCGATGAAGTTGAAGAGGCCGTCGAGTTCGAAGATGCGCTTATCAAAGAAGTAGAAGTTGAGCTTGTGCTAGTGAAAGTCGTCGAGGAACGGGTTAACGATGACGAGGAGGAGGAGGAGGAGGACGAAGAGCTACTGGATGAAGTCGAAGAAGACGAGGTGCTTGTAGACGATGTACTAGACGAAGTGAAAGAGCTTGTGGAAGCGCTAGTCGATGACGATGTTGTGCTGGTGGTAGTAGATGGCATGCTAGAAGATGCAGACGAGCTAGAAGAGGAGATGAAAGAGGTGGTACTAGTTATTGTGCTCGAGCTTGAAGAGGAACTAGACGCAGTGGTGGTCGACGTCGAAGTCCGTGTAGAAGACGTCGAGGTTGGAGAAGTGATCGTGGTGGACCTTATGGAACTGCTACTAGTAGATGTGCTACTAGTAGACGTCGTGGTCGTCGTGGTACTAGTCGAAGACGTCGACGTCGACGTCCTGGAAGTGCTAGTAGAGGTTGACGATGTAGACGTAGACTGGTACCCAAATTGGCGAACTCCATAGACATTATATATGACATCGCTGCCATAGTTTCCCCCACAGGCGTAAGGATTGTTGGCTATACAAGCGACGTTGCAAAGAGCAGCGTTGGGCGCTGGCACTGATGCAAGAACTACAGTCGGTGTACTGTTCGGGTTGTTGAAGGTCGAACACCAGCATTGCTGAGCGGCATCGTTTCCTATAGCGGCAAACGCAGAGCCGAGAAGATCACATACGTCTTGACACAGGACGACATCGCCATTCGTAAAGGAGAAGGAGTTGGCAAAAACCGTATTGAAGTTCGTGATCTTGCCACAGGCGCTGTACGTAAAGCCATACAGCGGGGGTGCCTGTGCTACTGCGTGAACGAAGGGTAAGAGTAGTCCCAGGCCCGTGGCCAGGATCTTGAACTGGGTCATCTGCATCCCGAAAGGTTGGTCAAAGGATCACGGCAGTGCCCCACAGCTGGTAATCAAGATGATCTCGCCTGGTAGCTAGAAGAGTTCGACTTTGAGGGCCATGGACAGTAATGTAGACGGGGAAGACCTGTGGAGCTAAGAAAGTTACGAGGATGAACGAGGCAGGAAGCCGGAGGGTCAATGGAGGTGTTTGATCGGGCCGTGGCATCCTAAATATCATTACATGGACTTCGGATCTGGCTCAGCTCTTCGAATCATGATCAAATTGAACTGAGTCTGTTGAATTCGGTCCAGCTCTTGGCATGAGACTACATTACAAAACGCGTTCAGCACATCGTCCGATATCAACACCTCTCGTGCCCGACTGTAGTGCCCTAGAGGGCTTGAAGGGAAGGGATGGGGAGAAAGCACGAGGAGAAGGCGCGAAGAGAAGACCAAAAGAGAAATGATTGCCTTGTCAAATTAGATTGCGGGAAAGGCCCGGATCACGAACGGTTGAGACCATAATTCTAATTCAGGTTCCAGTTCGTGTCTCAATCAACCCTGGACCCTGGATCCTGGGTGACTCGGTCGAGGATAAACTCTCAGTTAAACCTATTTGGCAAGGAGACAAGCAAACTTGCGTTCCAATTCGTTCAGCCCTGAAAAAGTCCCTCGTGCACCACGATGCGTGCCCCGAGGCATCTCCAAGGTTAGTAGATCCAGTAGCTAGGTACCTCGAACTCTTTGCCCCCCCTCCTCCCCCCCGCTCTGTGCTTTGAGCTAGTCATTGGACCGCAGCTCGTACTCTTGGGTAGCCTCTCCTCACATATTGATACTTGGCAAAGCTGATTGTGAATGAACCCGGGTAGCAGGTTCGGGTGTAACGTGAACCGTGTAGCCTGCGCACATTCCAGAGGATTAAATCCACGTGAGCCACGCATAGCAATCCCCACGCCACCATTCCCGTTGCTTCCCTCCCTTGGAACGGCGCGGTCCGGACTTGGTCACGCCTGGACGACTCTAGGGATCCTGGGAAGGTAGGTAATCCGCACTACAGAGCTCTAGGCTCAGCTGGCCACTGGTGCAACGGTGAGAGGTCGATTGATGCGGGAGGCGGACGCCGCTAAAACTCAATGTCACTACCCAGATGAGAAGCAGTCATTCGATCGTCAAGAGGATGCGGTAACTTTATTGATGCAACTATTCCATATCCTCAAGTAGACAGGGCCAAGCAGGCATCGACAGCCTGCCCAACTCTTCCCTGTTTCTGGTGTACCACGTCCGAAATGATCTCCCTGTCAAGATCGGGGAACATTCCTTGCAGAGTCTCGACGACGTTATTGTGCTCTACCCTGCTCAGACGCTGGGCCTCAGCAACTTCAGCACTCGCCTGCCGCGCTGCAGCTTCTTCCGCTGACAAGTGGTGACGAGCAGATGGCGGCCGTCCATCAGGTGATATTTCGGTGCTTGGCCTGGGCGACAGCCGCTCAGAGGAGTCTCGCGGCCTCGACGTCGGCCTCGATGCGTTGCTAGGTACAGGTGGTGCAGGAGAGGGCTCATCCGAAAACATGCGACCGATTGTGCTGAGTGGCTTCTGAATGGAACGAAGAAGTCCCGTGATGGGGGCCTGATCGTCTGAATCTTTTCCACCCTCATTCGATGATGTTGATCGACGTGGCGTGGACGACTCCCCCATGATGTCTAGAGAAGGCCTCGTCGAAGATTCCCCTGTCTGGTATCCAGTCGATGACTTCTCCGAGAATACAGGTTCTTGAGCGACTGCAGGTGAGTCAAGGCGGTGTTTTTCGGCAATTGCAGATACCGCTGCTTCGACATTCTTCTCGAACTCTTCATCGGTAATGGTGAGAGTCGTCCTATCCATATTCTCAATAAACTGGATCGCGCCCATCTATGCCATGTCAGTTGTGTGCAGCGTTATCAGAGCGCCAATGGGACCTACTAGCGATGAAAGGTAGTATCCGGCTTCACCACCCAGCTTCTCCTGGTTTCGGAACCGCAATATATACTGAACGTTTGACACCAAGTGTTCTGGGTTGGCTTGGAGAACAACGTAGATGAGGAGGGGCATGAAGGAGTCGGCTGAAGAGTCCGACTTTGAGTGCTTGAGCAGGCCTGTCACGGGTTAGCCTTCAAAATCGCGTCATCGGCACAAATGATGGCTGACCAAAGATGACTTTGCAACAGTTCAGGACGCAAATGATCTTGTCCCGCGGCGCTCGGTATGACTTGATCTTGAGGATTTCTATGCACAGTCAACGACCAAAACTCTACTGGGAAGTTTTGAGAAAATACCTTGCTGGGCGAGCTTTAGGAATCGCTTGCCACTATCACCAGCTGGCGGTATATCAAGGTGCTCCTCCCGAAGCCAGGCATAAATGTTGATCTTTTGTGTCAGGATATCATCTCGTTCCACGTCCTCTTGGTGCTGGCCACGCCTGCCAGGCCCCATCGGTCGCTCCCCTCCACGTCTTTTCGGCTTCGCACCGGGAATGGGCTGCGGGGGAGGGATCGCCGGCGAAAATGTTTGCGTGTAGAGCCTGTTCATGACCAACTTCTCCATACCTTCGCGAGCATTGTCAAACTCTGCGTCGGAGACGTCGCGCCACACTTCGCACTGGGCCATCTTGTTGGCAATGAAGGCAAGGAAATCGCTGATGATCTTGACTTGCTCGTGTACCATCCACTGCCGCTTACCAAACTCTGATAAAAACGACTTTAGGTATCTCGCGACTGGGTCCGCTTTTTTGTTTCGTAGTTGTTCTAAGAATCGGTGGAAGTCGAATGGCAACGCTGGCTCCGGTTCGGGTTCAGGAGGTGGCGGCCGATGAACGGGCATGCCAGGAGACATCTGGGAGTCGATGCTCATCTGGCGATCATCGTGAGATCGCGCTGGTGTCGCCGGTGGGCCGTCTTTTGGGGGTACTGGCGGCCCATGTTCGTCGGGTGCTTTTTCTTTGGAGAACATACTAGCTGGGGAGGCCGATTGTATTCTGAGGCCTTGGAGCTCCTGGACCTGCTGAGACAGTGAGGGTACCAGTGGCTCAAGGCTGGACTTCCGGGGTGGATGCTGTATGCCTGGGCTACCAAGCATGGGCGAAGCAATCTCCAGCCTTGGGCTCATGACTTCTTCAGCTCCAGGGCCCCCACCGTCGCCGGTGAACTGCTCCATGATACTCTGAATTTCGGACCGCGACCCATTCTCTTGCTCATCTTCGCTTGCATATCTGCGCTCGTCATAGCCAGCATCAGATCGTGTAGGTGATGCAGAGGTAGGCCGGCGTTTGGCATTTGAGGGGGTTCGTGAGGGAGGCTGGGATGTCCTCGGAGTCGGAGGTGTCGGGTCGACGTATGTCGTGGACTCGATGGTGAGAAACTGTGTAGCAGTCTCGGCAGGAAGAGGGCTCGTGGGCTTCAAAGTCGCTATCGACGAAGTCATCGGTTCCGGGATGGTCACGGGAGCAGGTTTGGACGCTGTCTTGGGCGGGTGCTGGGAACGCTTATCCTCTACCTTTGCGTCATCTTTCGTATTGACAGTTGAGACGGAGGTCTCTTCGCCAAAATCGATCAGGTCGTCGGTCGCTTGTTGTTTGCCTGCTGCTTTCGCTGACAGCACGGGCTGTTCGTTTTCGACATGGTTGTCAAGCTTGGGCAGCTCCGTTTCAGCCTTCGACCCCGCGGTCTCGGCGTTCGTCACCGAGGCGGCGGTAGTATCATTCTGGGGGGCACCAGAGAGGCCGAAAGAGTGATCTGTGGGATCTGTAGAAGACATACACCACAGATCTTGCAGAGTGATTTTGTTCGTTTTTGGTGAGCTCTTGTCAAGCCGAGCAGCGGGGGTTGGCGTCGGGTTGTGATAGGCGAGGCTCGAGCTCAGCAAAAGGCGGAGGAGAAACAGTCGCTGACATGCAAATGCGGCAGTCGGATTAGTTGAGCTGTGAGGGCTGTGGCTCGTTTCGAGAATCAGCAGATCAAAGACCCTAGCTGCAGGTGGGTGGTGTACGGAGGGTTATCGGTTGGAGTTGTGTTGCGTGAGCTATCACGGGAATGGGATCAGCAGTCCAAGGTAGCAGTGGGTTGGCCGTGTAACGGCGGAGAGAAGGCTGAGAATGTTGGTGTGCAACGGTAGAGATCCCCACAATTCGTGGGGTGTGGCGGGCATGGGAAATGCACGTTCTCACGCTGCAGTGAGTGACTGACTGGCGGCAGGGCGAATTTTGGCCAGAGTTTTGCCGGAGATCCAGGGTCCCCAGGTGTGGAAGGTCCGACCGACGTCACTCTGGTCCCTCCCTGCCTTCCCTTTCATCCCAAGGGACCTCGGAGACTATATTCTACCGCTCCGATGAATCCACGTGACCGGTCAAGATTGATTATGCCGGACCGGAGCCCAAAGTCGCCCCGTATTTGACTTTACCGTCCGGATCCGAGTGGGCCCATTTCATGCCGTGCCCCCGCCGCTGTCGTCCCTGCATCGTTCTTCCGTCCCGGCGCACGGAGCCCCTCTAAGGATTGTTCTGTCTCATCTTTCCCTGACGTTGACAGGGTATCAACCTTTTCCGCTAAACCTCAACCTCGGCTCATAAAGACTGCATCGCCGCTGTCGACTCATTGATGCATCAGAAAAGCTGAAGCGCCCATGGATCCAGGAGAATTTCTGCTCTTTCCTCCCATTTATGACAAGAATCACTCAACCATACTGTCGGATCGGCGCAAGGGAGAATGTCTCAAAACCTCTCGCAGGTCTTTCTTATTCGGGGTGCTTTGACGGGTGGATTTTACATCTTTTTCATTTTGTTTAATCTCCATCCCTCTGCGACTGCGCCGTTGACTGACCCACGGCGGAGCAGACACGCTTTTGACATCTTCTTGCTTTTGCCCACCGTCCGGTCGGAATCCCTTCAATGAACCAGCACAGCACAGCCCATCTCCATCTTCTTTACTTCTTCTTCTGTCCTCTCGGGGTCTAGAACTCTGCGTTTCCCGCGTCCGAATCCCGTTGTCTGACATTACGCTCGGTCCTCTGACAAGTGTCAAGCAGCGAGACCTTCTTTTTCTCAATCCCAATGAGGACTTGACTTGACCTCCCCGAGCCGGCCGATGCCCACCACACCAGACGTCAGACCCGGGATGAGAGCGTAAAGTCTTACCTGTCAGAACATAGAGCTGGTAGTAGCCAGCGCGGGCTCTGAGTCGCCAAAAACTCTCAAGCCCATCCTTGTTCAGGAGTCTGCTTTGTGATCAGTTTTCCGTTTCGATCCGGTCATCTCAAGTTTCAGGTTGGAACTTCTAGAACGTATCCTGTTCCTCCCAACTCAGGCGGTCCACAACGGACGCCGTCAAGTTCGCAAGCTACACTTTTATCGACAAGCGCCATTCCTGTGGCAGGGGCCCTCATGGTTGATGGGCCACCCTTCCCACCTCTGGACTTTGCTCAGTGGCAGAGATGTTGTGTGGGAGGGTCACTGACAGTTGGCTAGTCTGAAGCCCGTGAAGCCTGATGTTAGTCTGAATCTAGCGTTTGCTGTGACGAGGGCAGTTTCTTTTACCTTTGTAGCTTCCTCTGGGCATCCGGAGTTGAGAAGCTTTGCGCTTAGCTACACGAACGTTCTGGTGACAGCAACCACAACGGCACGTCACATTTCATTGAGGTTTTTTTCTTTGTCGGAGCCGATGAACTTGGACCTATATGTCGTTCGTCAGGTTAGATGATACGAAGCAATCCGAGGCCATCGGCTGCATGAGGCCCGAATGATAGACTTCTATACCTAATTCCCCTGGTCCCCGAGCCTTGTCGATCCTGGGTTGTTCTCTAAACAATATCTGCGAAACGACGGTCCTCCTCCCCGAATGAACAAGGCATGAGGGGCTCTCGACCTTATCGGATTTAGGCTACCGAAGAGAAATCAAACGGCCATGCCTCGGTCCACTCGATCCTTCCCTCCCACCATTTGGATCTCCGATAAACGACATCGACCAGGCTACATGCTGGATACGCCACTAGCCAGGGGAAATCCAACGGGATGGCGCTGTGGAGTGGTCTTCCCGATGGCTTGGCTGCCGCATCCTGGAGTCCTGCGACCGTGCTTCTCCGGGAAGGGAGTCGTGTTTCCCAAAGCGGACAGACTTGCGATCTGGACAGTCCACCTTGACCTGCGCCTCAGGAGATCCCATCGACCCCAGATGCATCTTACACGCCAAGGGACACCTTTTGGGGATGTCTCTTGCTTACTCGAGCTGATTCGAGAGATGCGACTGGCCCGGACGCTTGGAGCTATGGGACGAAGATGACTTGATGTGGAAACGCCAACAACGGCCGAGGCGGAGGTTTGCACTAATCGTCATCTCAACACCAGCCCAACGGCGTGGGTTGACGTGCAGAAACTCTCTGTATAAAGGTTGCCGCCAGACCCTTTGACTTTATTCATCTCATCACCAACACATCTCATCTTCAACACGCAGCAATCAGCTCGCTAACATTCCAAGCCCCGGTGGCAGTCATTCTCTTTCGCGACGCTGTATTTCAGTCTGCTCTGTGAGCCCATTTCTCTTCGACCTTTTCCCAAATCATCACGATGAAGTTCTCCGCTGTTATTGCCCTCGCGTCTATCGCGGCTGCGTTCCCTACGCTCTCCGAGCCCGCCCTCGATGAGCGTGATCTTCTTGAAATCGAGGCCCGCGATATCGAAGCTCGCCAGCGCGGCCGCGTTGGTTCTACCGCCAAAGAGTTCTCGACTGGTGGTTGCAAAGACGTTATCATGGTCTTCGCCCGTGGTTCTACCGAAGTCGGCAACATGGGTACCATTTGCGGTCCTCAAACCGCCAACAACGTCAAGGGCAACTTCCAGAGCGTGGCTGTTGAGGGAGTCGACTACGCCGCTGGTCTCTCCACCAACTTCCTGCCTGGCGGCGCCGATCCCGCAGGTGTTGCGGAGATGAAGAAGATCATTGGCGAAGTCAACAGCCAGTGCCCCAACTCCATGATGGTCGTCGGTGGCTACAGCCAAGGCGCCGCCGTCACTCATCGTGCCGTCGAGGACTTGCCCCAGGCCCAGAAGGACCAGATCGTCGCGGCCTTCATGTTCGGCGACACCCAGAACACCCAGGACAAGGCCCAGATTCCCAACTTCCCCAAGTCCAAGACCAAGATCATCTGCGCCCAGGGAGATGCCGTCTGCAAGGGAACTCTCACCATCCTGCCGGCCCATCTGTCCTACGGCAACCAGGCTGGCAACATGGCCGACTTCATCTCGCAGAAGCTCACCGCAGCTGGCGCGCAGAGGCGCAAGTAGACGCATTTCACGACTGTCATGTTTACGAGGCGGAACGAAGGGGAACATCTGATGAGCATCCATGTAGACACTGTGGCTTTGCATGCACTGAGCGGCGGCCTTTTTTTTTTCTTGTTTCTACTTCTCTCTACAGGCATAAAGAGACATCCATTTCTACAGTTCACATTTGGGGAAGGCATTTTGTGTATGTTTGAAACAGTGCAATGTTAGTTACTACGCCTCCTGGGCTTATTATTCTGGCGACAGAGTACCCGGTGAGAGCTTAATCCTGTCAAGGTACTTTACCTGAGGCTGGGTGCAGATTCATGGGAGATGGGCAGCCAAGACATGCCCCAGACGCTCGTTGATCGATGTGCAATAAGAAGAAAATTCTCCGAACCTTACGGTCCCATTGTGACATATGTGTGGTGCTCTGTGACAGTTGATGAATGAAGGCCCCGGCATTTCGGGGTTCAGGGGGACGGGGTTATGCTGGCGATGGGGAGGCAACGGAGAGGCGTACGGGGCCGTTGACGTACAGTGCTTACATAAGTTGAGATCGCGGTGACACTGTACGTACCACTCCGTTTTTTAGCCTTGTCGCTCCACATGCCTCAGGCGCAAGCACGGCCTTTCGCACTGTACTGCGGCATCTTACATCCCGCTGTCTCTTCTTTCACGACGTCAAAACTTGAATCTTCCCGTCTTCCCGATGTCTTGTTCGTTTCTCTCTCCCCGGTTCGCACTTCGAAGCACATCAGATGGGATGAAGGTATCAACAGTCATCCCGTCGGCAATGCATAGAAAACGCCCAGTTGGAAATGATTAACACATGCCGACGGCGGCGGCGGCGATTAACCCTCATCAAAGGCCACCATTCCTCTTCAAGGCGCCCATGAGAATTGTGTGCGAGAGACTCCACCAATGTGCGACGTCGCGACAAAGGGTCTTGCCTGTTCAGCTTTCGCCCGAACTTTCTGCCCTCGTATGACGCTCGTCGGGGAGAGAGAAAGGCTGAAGCACACCTTCCAGTTCCAGGGCTGGGCGGCTGAAAGTCTGGAGACACCAGATGGCATCCGTGCTCTGCCTTACCATTCGCACCTCGGACGCCTTATTTTCTCCGGACGCACAGGATCTTGATGCCGCTTGTTGTGGGATCCGCGGATCAACGTGGACGAGGGAAACATGATTGTCGCCAATACGCGGAGCCACCTGGAAGAATTTATTCCAGGAGCCAGCCGTTGCGCCGATCTACCCAAACAAGACTTTGAGATGGAACAAGGCCAGACACTTCGGATCCGGTTGACCGGTTCGCGGCTAGCGACGCTTCGAGCAGTGTGTCCGAGGCCAAGCAATTCGTTGGACGGAGTTCATCCCTGGCGTCAGCTCGTTGCTTTCTTGGCGGCGTTCAGTTGGAGGTCAGCGTCGAAGCACAAACGTTAAGATTTCGCCCATCACCACATGCACCGCACGTGGGAACAAACTTCACTGGCAGCTGGCGGATGACGGCGTCGGGCTTCTTCTCGAACTCTGGAAGAACCTTCGATCGACCTCAATCAATTGAGAACGGCCTGGCCACCCGATCTAATCAATCGAGTCTGAGGACACACATCCGCACTAGCACCATGTCCAATTGTCCATAACCAGCGAGAGCTCCGGCCAGTGTGCCCACCACGTGGGGAGATCAACACGGAATAATGGTACCAACGGGGAATCCCCCCCTTGATTTCTGCCCTGGAGAATCGTCGTTGATTCATATCTTTAGCAACAGATTACGCCCGCTGCCTCTAATTTCGCCAGTTTTCCTTGGCAACCCACCTTTCGCGCGGGACGCAGGCCGTTGATGACGAACTTGGTGCCCGCTGTTTCTTGTCCATTGCCGCTCCCCATGGGATTTTCTCTTCTGTCATCGAACTTGGCCGGGGAAACACCAGAATGGCAGTGCGCATCGTCGAACCCTCTCCTCTGCACGTTCAGTTTCCTTGAAGAAATCGGATGATCTCCAGTGCTGCGCTCGAATCTGCTGCAGCCTTACGATCCCCGTTGGGATCCGAACCGATGCGACCGCTCGTTTTTCGCACGGAAATGATCCATCACGCAAGACGCGACTCTTGCAATTGTCACTCGCTCAATTAATGCCGTCGCTACGATGAACGAGAAACCCACGACCGAACCACTATCCGCGAGCGATACGCCGCCGCACTGCCACGAAGAAGCTCCCGGCAAAGCGCAGTGGCTGGACGCTACTTCGAGGCGCGATGCTCTATTGTGGTGCAAAAGCGTATTTCACGAGGTTGTCTTGGGTCGAAAAACATTGCCGCCTTCGAAGAATGGTCGCATAATCCCACTCAAATTGAACCAAGATGCGCCCCTGACCGACGAACGGCGAGGCGGTCATCCCTTTGTTTCCAACACCATCCGAACTTCCCGATACACTGTTTATGACTTTATCCCGAAACAACTTTTCTTCCAGTTTTCCCGAATCGGCAATTTTTACTTCCTCTGCGTCGGCGTTCCCCAGACCATCCCTGGCATCTCGACTACGGGAAACTTCACGACGATTTTGCCCCTGCTATTCTTCGTTTTGGTCACTGTGGCAAAAGAGGGATATGACGATTTCAAGCGCCACCGACTCGACAAGGTAGAGAATGCGGAAACGGCGCGTGTGCTCAAGCACTCGAAACATCGCAAGGCTAGCCCGCAGACCTGGCAGTCCAAGCTCAGAAGCGCTCTTCCGGGAAGCCGTCAAGTACTGAGCGCCGGTCAAGCAGCAAACGATGGACCCTGGCTGACAACAAGATGGTGTGATATCGAGGTTGGCGACTTAATCAACTTACGAAGAGACGAACCAGTTCCTGCGGATATCGTCCTGCTCCATGCCGACGGCGAGAATGGTCTCGCTTACATCGAGACAATGGCCCTTGACGGCGAGACGAACCTCAAGAGCAAGCAAGTCTCAGCTGCACTAGAAGGATGCGATACTGTCGAGAAGATCCTGGCCTGCGATGCTGAGTTCGTGGTCGAGGATCCAAACCCCGATCTTTACAAATTCGACGGTCGAGTGACTGTCAACGGAAAGTCACTGCCACTGACTTCAGCTGAGATTATCTACAGAGGGAGTATCCTGAGGAATACGGTGTCCGCGATTGGCATAGTCGTCAACACTGGCGAGGAGTGCAAGATTCGCATGAATGCCAATCAACACCCCAAGGCAAAGAAACCCGCGTTAGAGACCGTGGCCAACAAGATTGTTGTTTCCCTCGCGCTCTATGTCATCATTCTTTCCGTCGGCTGCTCTATGGGATACGTCATGTGGCAGCGGTCGCAAGAACGGAGAACATGGTATCTGAAGGATGCTGAAGTCAAGTTCTACGAAATCATCATTGGATTCATCATCCAGTTCAACAACGTCATTCCGTTGGCCCTGTACGTCAGTCTCGAGATCGTCAAAGTTGGACAGCTTCTCATGCTCAATTCCGATGTCGAGATGTATCATGCCGAAACGGATACGCCAGCCCGATGCAATACCAACACCATCCTGGAAAATTTGGGCCAAGTCGGCTATATCTTCACCGACAAAACGGGCACGCTAACGGAGAACGTGATGAAGTTTCGCAAATTGAGTATTGCTGGCACAGCTTGGCTGCATCAACCGGACGTCGAAGTTGCAGATGGCGACAGCGAAAACAACAGCTCTGTAGACACTCTGTCTGAGGCAAAGGGGATCCCGCGCATATCGACCCAGCACATTCGAACCGATGCCATCAATGACGACTATGCTCAATCTCCGACGACCCTCGGCAGACCATCGATGGCTCGCTCACGAGCACCATCTACGCGAAGATCATCTTCTCAGTGGAGGTCCACAGGGCGTCCGGACCACGCGCAGCCCGATGTCACCACGAGCGATCTTTTAGAGTTCATTGCTTTGAGGCCTCACTCTCTTTTCTCCAGAAGAGCCAAAGACTACATCCTCGCAATGGCCCTCTGTCATACCTGCCTCCCGGAAATTCGCAACGGCGAGGTGGAATATCAGTCTTCTTCTCCAGACGAGCTAGCCATGGTTCGAGCGGCACAGGAACTCGGCTACACTGTTGTTTCGCGAACATCCTCGAATATCACCTTGCGACACAGCTCCGACGCCGCTGACGCAGCGAAGGACATGACATTCCAGATCTTGGATGTTATTGAGTTCAGCAGCCACCGGAAGAGGATGTCCATTGTCGTGCGATACTCCGATGGTCGTATCTGTATCATCTGTAAAGGCGCAGATTCAGTCATACTTCCAAGGCTCAAGATGGCTAGTATGGCGTTGCAAAAAGCTCAGGATGTGAGGCAAAGTGCGGATCTTGAACGCGAGCTTTTGCGAAAAAGTGAACAGTACGAACCGAGAATCAGCATTGGGGGTCGCGCTAGCATGTCTTTGCGAAGGAGCATAGGCATCGCACGCGGCGCACCGGGCCCAAGTGTTCGGCCTCCCATGGATCGCAGCCAATCTTTCGAGACAAGCAAGTTGCGCAAATCGGGCGATCTCTTGCGGCCTTCTATCAACATCCGCACGACATCATTCGAGGCCTCGTCCGGGTCTCCTACCCTTCCATACAACACTCCCGAAAAATTTGCTTTCCTTGACGACCCTGCCATCGCCGATGACTCAACTATCTTCACTAGATGTTTTAAGCATCTTGATGACTTTGCTACTGAAGGCCTCCGCACGCTGCTTTTCGCTCAAAAGTTTATTTCAGAACAGGACTACCTCACTTGGAAGAAGGCTTTCGACGCTGCATCTACCAGCTTGACCGATCGTCAAGACAAGATCGAGGCTGCAGCAGAAATTATCGAGCAGTCCTTCAACCTCGTTGGTGCTTCGGCGATTGAAGATAAGCTCCAACAGGGCGTTCCGGAAACCATCGACAAGTTGCGGAGGGCGAACATCAAAATCTGGATGTTGACAGGCGACAAGCGCGAAACGGCCATCAACATTGCTCATTCAACCCGCATCTGCCAGCCAGTGTCCGATCTCTACACCCTAGACGTTACTAAGGGAGACCTCCAGGGCCAGCTCGTGGCACTATCCGAAGACTTGCACTCTGGCTGTGTGCACAGTGTTGTCGTTATCGATGGCCAGACCCTCGCGACGATCGAGAGGTCGGACGACTTGACAGCTCAGTTCTACTCAGTGGTCCCCTTTGTGGACTCCGTCATTTGTTGTCGAGCCTCCCCCGCGCAAAAGGCACTCATGGTCAAGACCGTTCGTTCCCAGCTCCGAAAGCTGAGAGGCCGCATGGGCCATGGTCTTACACTTGCCATCGGTGACGGCGCCAACGACTTAGCAATGATCTCTGCTAGTCACGTTGGCGTTGGTATCTCTGGAAAGGAGGGACTACAGGCTGCTCGAGTGGCCGACTACGCTATCGCCCAATTCAAATATCTCCAACGACTGCTTCTCGTGCATGGACGATGGAATTACGTGCGCACAGCCAAGTTTATCCTGTGTACTTTCTGGAAGGAGATGTTCTTCTACCTCCCCACGGCCCTATACCAGCGCTACAACGGCTACACAGGTACTTCGTTGTACGAATCGGCCAGTTTGACCGTCTTCAACACGCTCTTCACCAGCCTGTGCGTCATCTGTCTGGGTATCTGGGAACAAGATCTCAGTGCCGACACCTTACTTGCCGTTCCCGAGCTGTATGTGTACGGTCAGCGAAATATGGGTCTGAACCTAGCGAAGTATGCCGGTTGGATGCTGTCAGCAGCGATCCAAGGCGTGTTAGCATATTGGGGCGTCTGGGCGGGCTATGTCTGGTTCGCACACTCGAGTGATCAAGGTCTTTACGCCGTCGGGAACCTAGCGTTTACCCTTGGCGTTGTCTGGATCAACTATAAGTGCTTGTAAGTGAAAGATGAATACCTCTCTGAAGACCACGTCTAACTGTGTTGCAGCATTCTCGAGACGCACCACAAGTCTGGTGTCGTAATGGGGTGCTTCCTCCTCACCTTCTCAGGATGGTGGGCTTGGCAAGGATTCCTGTCGTCCATCTATGCCCGCACCCCGTCGATCTACGCCGTACGTGACGGCTTCTCGAAGACCTTTGGTCGGGACTGGACGTGGTGGCTAACCCTGATTGTGATGGTCACCCTCTTCATCCTCATGGAGACCATATTCCGCACCCTGCAGCGCTCTCTCATTCTCGCAGGGTTGTGGAGGTGGCCCTGGGTTCGCAAGGAGGATGACGTTTGTGCGGACGAGTGGCGCTTGGAGCTTTGGCAAGAGCTTGAGAAGGACCACGCTGTGAGGGAGAGGCTGAGGAGGTTAGCGAGTGACGAGGATGAACATGAGGAGGTGGAGGATTGCGAGGAGGATGTTGTTCGTGGTGAGTCTGAGAGGGCGGGTTGAGTCATTCCTTTACGAGAGATACCCCTTCTGTTCTATACACTGCCTTAATGGCTTAAATATTCATATCGTTCCGAGGCTTCATCACCCCAAATCTTGTAACAGGCGCATATTGCTTCCCCTTCTACTTCACGCAGTATCTGCGCAGGGCTGAGCCCGTGTATGCAGGCAACAGCGACGCACAAATTGGATCATCCCTCTAACATGTGGCCCTTGACGCACGTGAAAGGTGCGTATCGGGCTCACGGGCATCGTCACCACGCTTCTGCTACACGGAAATCGCCCTCTCCCGGAACGGCCTTTTGGGATCAAAATCAACACCCTGTATCGACGCTATCTACAATCTCAAGGTCGGCGCTGGTGGTAGGCGTTAGCGCTGCAGTCAGTCAACGTCAGTGGATTAGATTGAGACGAGGTATTCATCCGCTAGCCGGCCTGGAGATGCATGATAGTGCTAGTAGAGGCCCTTGGGGGTCTATGTCTCTCTTATCTCGGGCTGGAGGTAAGTCCAGTTTTGGTTCCGCAATGCGTGGAGATTAGGGCTGCTGTTTCTCAAACTCCAGCGATACTGTGTCTCTCGGGGTCATGGTCACCGTTCTAAGTCTCGCAATGAATCCCTTTGTTCAGTAGATTGCCACTTTCGAATCCGCCCCTGCGCCATTTGGCAATTTTAGCATTGCATCGCGAGAAGTCATTTTTGAAGCAGGTATGAACAGCACAGACAACAGCGTGTTCTACCAAGGCTTTGTTCAGGCTCCACAGAGCTTCAGCCCTCATATCTACTTTGATGGCGACCTTAACGACACTTTTTTGCGCAATGCTTAGCAGCTACATCCACGCTCCTCTGGGGGAAACGTCTCATACGGTGTCAGCGAGTCGCTCGCGGTCTGTTCCGCATACGCTAACCTCACGGACAAGTTACGCGCCCCGGAGAGGTCAGCAAAGAACTCGGACCAGTGGTCAACAGACGAGGGGTGTTGGAAATGGGACCTCCCTAATGGCGCGAGCAGCGGATGTACCAGGTTCGGGGACTGGAGCACCAATGCCATGAGCCTTGCTTGATGCTGCGACGGATCCCGTGGTCTTGAATACTACCGGTCAATTGAAGATTCTCTACGTAAATGCTATACTGCCCGGGTGGGAGATAACATCCCGCGACGATGATGATCAACCTATCGACGGTGTTGGCGTTAGGGGCTTGGCGCAAGAGTGTGCACTCTACTGGTGTGTGAACAAATACGAAAGCAGGTTGAGCGCCGGCATTTTCAACGAGACGATCATATCTTCCTTCTCAACTGGCGATTTTGAGCCAGAGCCCTTCCATTGAGTCTTCGCTATCAGACCGCTGGGATCTAACTTTTCTTTTTATCGAGGAAACAGGCTTGATGATGATGACTATTCGACGAGCTGGATCAACGGCACGTTCCTGGTGAATGTTGACGCTAGCGGGCTCATCCAGAGGCCTTTGGAAGAGCTCTTCTCTGGCTACGCCACCACGCTGAATTCTTACCAGGAATGGGCTCCCATATCGAGCAATCCGACGGTATTGCATCTGTATATGACGGCGCGAAAACACGATCCGTCTCAGGTCCCGCGATTCGACATGTGTAACATCATGGAGGCCGTCGCGTTGGGCATGTCAACAGCTTTGCGTACGACGGACCCCACTCACGAAGGGAATGATGCACTCAAGAGCGTTGTGGGTATAGAAACAGCTATGCAGATTATTGTAAGGGTCCGCTGGGCTTGGATTGTGTTGCCCGTTATCCTTCAGCTGGTCGCGCATCTATTTTTCTGGCAGACAGTGATAACGTCTCGGAGAAGAAGACTGAATAGCTGGAAGTCTTCGGCGCTTGCTGTGTTCTTCTCCGGAGCTGGAAAGGAGAGAGAGAGGTCGCGCACTCTGAGGTGGAGAGGCTGATTGGCATGGAAGTCATTACGAAGGAGACAGTACTTGTGGTTGAAGGAAGAGAATCCAAGGGCATTTGAAGACACACAGTCCGTTTTCACAGCCTACATTCCAACGTGGAGGTCACTTCATCGGTAAAGTCATGGACTCTGATGCAAGTGCTATCGCCGAACCCGGCACTGCCGGAACCTAAATATCCACATCGGATCCGAGTATCGCACTTGGCGGAGCAACGGCCCGGGTGGGAGCTCAAAATCCCGTCACGATTGCCACAGCCAATCATTTACGCCAAATTACGACAAACCAGGACTGGACTAGGCCACTAAGTCCCATTCCCATAAGCACTAAAACTTGCCATCTTCCCCCTGTAAGAGACTAAGGTATTCGACTTGATGCGGAGTTGTAAGCGCCAAGAGGGATGAATACATAAGAAGCATCCTCCGCCGGCAAACCCGTCTCAATCGCTGGGCAGTCTTTGTGCTGCTATCGATTTGGTTGTCAGACATTATGCTCGGCATTCTGGGACTCGAATATGGTTTCGTGCCTTCATTGGCGCTGTTCGCCGCCATACCTGTGATGCTGTACCTCGCCTACCTCATCAGATCCCCCGTGACAATGGACGCTAAAGAGCCGCCTCTATTGCGCCCGACAATCCCCTTCATCGGGCACATCATCGGCATCTTCCAACACTCGTGGGAGTATCTCGACGTGGCCTTGTAAGTTTCTCGCCCGTTCTGATGCCCATCGCAAGTCTTGCTCAGCAATCGCACCAGTGCAAAGTCAAAGGCTCCCATGTTCACCCTGCCCATGCTAGGAGGCAAGATGTACGTCGTTACCGAACCAGAGCTCGCTCAGGCGGCACTTCGCAACCGCTCACTGAGCTTCGACCCGTTTCTGAGGGACCTTATTAAGGGGATGGCTGGCGCTAGTGCGCAGACAATGAAGGCGTGGGATGATCCCGCGTTCTACGGCCCTTGGGTGAAGAGTCTCTATGGTGGGATGGCGGGCCAATCGCTACTTGCACTCAATATCTCGGCCGTGGGAGGGATTGCGACGGCGCTGAACGAGATTGGCGACGATGTAGAGGTTGCGGACTTGTACATGTGGAATCGGGAGTTGTTCACATTGGCCAGCACAGATTCGCTGTATGGGAGCAAGAACCCTTTGAGGGCGGATAAGACGCTCATCGAGGCGTACTGGTAAGTTCCTCTCAACGATGCTCTGATTTGAGATGGACTAGTCTAATCTCCCGTAGGGACTACGAAGCAGACGTCAACAAGCTCATGCTCGGCATCTTCCCCTCTATCATCGCACGAAAAGGCTACCGCGGCCAAGCCCTCTTCCAAGAAGCTTTCAAATCCTTCTTCGACTCCCAGTTCCACGAGAACGACGATGTCCCATCCCTCGTCAAAGACCGCCGGAGATTAAGCATAAGCTTCGACATGACATCGGCGGAAGCCGCCAAGATTGAGCTGATCTTCCTCCACGGCGCCGTCTCGAATACCTTTCCTGCATTTTACTGGTTCTTTACCCAAATTTTCAGCCAGCCTGAGCTTCTTTCACGCCTTCGTGAGGAGGTGCATGGCGTCATTGAGGAGAAGGGGCGTAATGTTGTCGATGGAAAAGAGAAGCGAGTATATTTGTTGCATATGGAGAAGTTGGAGGAGAAGTGCCCGCTACTCATGTCCTGTTTCCGGGAGGCCCATCGATTGTACGCTGCGGGTACTCTCGCGAGGAAGGTCATGGCTGATACGACTATTTCCGATGGGAAGATGAGCTACATTGTGAAGAAGGATTGGCAGATATCTGTGCCGCAAAAGATTCTGCAGACTGATTCCGGGATCTGGGGAGATGATGCGTTGGAGTTTATTGGAGATAGGTTCTTGAAGATTGCGAAAGAGAAGGGAGAGGCGGTTGTTAATGCTGCTATCCGAGGGTTCCTTGGCTTTGGGGGTGGAAAGCATATTTGGTAAGTTACTCATTCTCATGATCTTTCGGTCTATAAGACTGTGGAAGCTAACGCTAGCAAACAGTCCCGGTCGGTATTTTGCGAGCGGTGAGCTGTTGGGCTCCCTAGCGCTGCTGGTTGCTGGGTTCGACGTCACTAGTTCGGACGGGGATGCGCTCGCAGTTCCGAAGGCCACTCCTGTGCCTCTTACTGGATCTTTTGGCAAGCCGGTACCTGGCAGCGGCCTGCGCGGGCGGATGCGCAGGAGAGCGGGGTGGGAAGATGTCCGGTGGGAGGTTGTTGCATAATTGATGAGATCAGAATAGCTGAATGGGCATGACCTACCTTTCTTACGCCTTTGTACTTGAGCTTTTTGGGTGTTAGTTGACATTCTTAGTTGCAGTGGGGATAAATCTCTAAATGCCAACATAGGTCAAGGACATGGTCCTGTCTGTCACATATGCCAACTCTTGGGTTGCGGAAAAGGTCCTAAGACATGGTATAGGCACTTTCATCGTCTTTCCGTTTGACGTCCCAAAGTCTCCTTGACGTCTTTCCTACTTCGGGTAGTAAAAAGGGCTTCTTCCTCACCGCATCGCAAAAATCATTCTGATCCATAATGAATTCCACCAGCTTTCTTCAACACACCTGACGGAAGATGTTCCTCGATGGCATTCATGGAGGCAGTTCCGGCGGTCTTTTGATTCACATGATCTCCCGTGAAGATATTCATACCTTTCAAAAGGGCAGTGAAAATCAGTGAACGCCTTATTTTGGTAGATTCTCCAGAAGGCGAATGACACTTGGCGTAGCATATATAGGTCAACAGTATCCAGTACTTTCATGATACGTAGTAGTCACACGTCGGGTAGTCTTATAAGTCGACAGCGGCGCAGGTTCCGATCGAATTTGACCTCCCAGCTCGATGGCTGATGGCAGGGTTGCAACAGGGGTTATGCCAGTCTTTTCGATCTGAGGGTTTCCGACTTGTAAAAAGAGTCGCTGTGAATGTTCTGCTTCGGATGATATACTAGGATGACAGCTGTTCCTTTCCACCGGCGGGGGCAGGACCAGGTTGGCAACTTCAGAGGCTTCCTGTGGCTCATTTGAAACGAATTGACTTGGGTATTTCGCTTCAGGTGACATAGTATGAGATTTGGTTCATCTGGCTGATTTATTTGCCGGCTTTCTACTCTTTCGCTTCTCGACGCTTTCTTTAACTAATCCACGGAGTCCGACCAGCATGAGACGGATGAGACCAATCTTGGCGGCGAAGACTTTCTAGCTATACTTTGGTGATCGATGAGTATTTTAAAAATGTAGAAAGTGAAGGATGAAAAGCAAATTCGGAGGTGAGTTGTGGGATAGTTTAGTACATCGAGGAATGGTGTGGCCTTTGACGGACGGATGGGAGGATTGATATCTTGTATGGTACTCATACCGTCACTATCAAGGCGCCATTCTTCCCGAACTTTCAACTCATGTGAGAACCTCGACACTGCCCAACCTTGAATTTCTGCAGGTGTGATCATCCGGGTTATTCATGCTACACCGAGCTCTCAAGGTTTTGACTTTGGCCTACATATGGCTTGATACGTCGCCGGTGTTAGTCCGGCCAATGAGTGACTGGGTCTGTTTTCTTTCCTTATCGGTATTGGCCTTTTGATTCAAGTTTCCTTAACTTGATAAAATTAAAGCGTATGACACAACCAGAGCGTGTGGCAAGAGTGTGTCTAATAACTCGAGGTTTATCATGATGAGAGCATGAACTTCAGTGACTTCAAGCGGACCAGTTGCAGCACTTGCGGCTGCCTGTCTTTGACATTGAGACTGCTGCTTAATTTGACAAGACCCTGGCAATAAACCTCGGAAACGTCAAACGACAGTACCTGTGTTGATTGTACCTCATGAAAGCTTCACTATGCGGTATTACTGTTCCATCCAGACTCATGTGCCAAAAGACAAGATTTCAACCCTTGTGCCGGTCGTAGGTGCCCGTAATTCATAACGGACGTAAGTCCCCTGCTGCAAGCATTGTCGAGCTCGTCACCGCAGCTTCTGCGACGCAAACATGCAGTTATTTAACCTGCGGTGAAGAAACGTTGTGCAAGTTCTCGTTGGAACCGGGGTTATTCGTCGACCGCAGGTCCGAGGCAAACAATCAACTTGCGGCGCAGAGCCAAGCGGCCAGGGTAAAACATCGGAGCTTCCCTCAATTGGGGTTGAAGACGAGCAACCGATCGCAAAATGACATGATGTTGAAGCGGATTCAATTTCTCAGTACTCTGACCGTACGGCCGAGATTTAATGTGCAGCGGAAAGATGTGTCCGGGGCAGGTAGCGAGAAAGGTTAGGTCCTTGGTGTTGTCTCTGTGTGGAATGCATCAAGTGCTTCTCGAAGGAATTTGATCGTCTCTCGATGCGTTCAGCTGCGTGTCCGCCGCCATGAGGGCGCACCTGAAGTCGCGGCCACGGTCTCGTTTCGTCACGTCTTGGATTCGTACAAGGAGAATGAGACAATTAAAGTCGAAAAGGTTTTTTTTTTACGAATAAAACAGAACTTTTACTTTGGTGGTGAGACCTGTGAAATCTAAACTTAGACATACGACATCTTGAACACCTATCTCTTCTCAATGTCCGCATCATCCCCATTCACGACGGCACCCTCGGCCTCTGATCGTTTGGCACCAGACGGCTCGGCCCTGCCGACGATCTCTGAGCTACGGAAAAATACCACCACAATCGTAAGAGAAGTGATCCCGAGCGCAAAGTTCATCCAGTTGGCGGCCCGCAGTCCGTCCAAGGACGGCTGGTCCCACTCCAACACTGGACCCGCTCCCTCGACCGATACACCCCTGGCCTTGGCCATGATGGCTGTCTGGACGGCTGTGGAGATGGCCAGGCCGATGGACCGGCCAACTTGCCCCACAGAGTTGACGAGCGCGCCGCCAAGAGCCTGGTCTTCCTGGGGCAGGGCCTTGGAGACAAACAGGATGAGGGTGGGCCATGCCATATCCGCGCCGATGACTGACAGGATCATAGCAGGTAGTCCGTAGGCGAAGTATGATGTGCTCGTGGGTATCGGTGTCGCGAAGAGCAAACACGCGATGGAGACGGAGACGTTGCCGCACACGAGGAGTATGTACGTTGGCACACGCGAAATGAGAAGCGCAGCTGCCCAGGCCACCATTATTCCGCCAATACCTGTGGGAAGGAAGTAAAGCGTGGTCGTGAGAATGGACTTGGCCTGGTAGTCCTGGTAGAAGTAGGTCGCGAAGATGAGGAAATTGTTGAATGAGGCGAAGAACATGGCCATGATGGCGAGCGCGGCACAGAACTTTCCGCTGTGAAAGATGGAGGTCTTCATGAGGGGAAGACGATTTGTCTTGACCTCAAGATGACGCTGCCAGAACCAGAAAATTCCCATAATGATGAACGAGACGACGATGAGAATCGAGATCCAAGGAGTCTTCCAGCCGACGACGTTGCCCTCAGTGAGTGCCAACATGAGGGCCAGCAGGCCGACTGTAATCAAAGCTCCACCGAGCCAATCAACCGACTTTCTAGCACTGGCACCCTTCTTGTGCAGCGTTGGCGCAGCAGGAGGGATAAAAAAGATACCCGCGACAGCAACTAGACCTGCGAGAATAGCCATGACGCCGAATACCCACTTCCAATTGGCATACTCGGCGATGAAGCCAGACAAAATGGTGCCGAAGGTGCTTCCCAGGGGCACACCAGCTCCATATGCCACAAACGCATACGTCTTTGCCTTTCCGGGAGGGAATGTTGTTCCCAGGATTCCGATAGCTGTTGGTACGTTGGCGGCGGCGCCTAGACCTTGTAAGCCGCGGAAGACATTGAAGGCGATCTCATTGGGGATAAAGGGGTTGGCGATGGTCATGACAGCGAGCCAAGCTGTACCAGCGATGAAGATGATGCGCTTGTCATAGAGGTCGGCGATACGGCCCCAGAGGAGGAGGAAGCATCCGAATGTGAGAGAGTAGGCTGACACGATCCATTGGAGACGTGATTCTGGGATGCCGATGTCTCGACCGATGGTGGGGAGGATGATGACCACGGCTTGGACTGAGAGAGTCTAAATATCATCGTTAGATAGGTCGGTAAGTAGTGCATTCCGAAGTACATACGTTCATGAAGCTTGCGCCGCTGACAGTTGTGACTAGGGCGATGCTACGGGCCTTGGACATGCCCTGCTTCTCTGGTCCGCTGCTTACGCTGCTGGACTCATCATCGGTCTGGAATCCCTGAATAGACATGACTGCTGATGTTTGAACATCTTTCTCCGTATCTGTCACATCACCAATGTTGTGGGTGATGATGATCTCGATGTCTTTCTCCTCGCAGATCGGGACTGTCGCGTGAGGGGCGTCCCTCCCGTCTTGTGAGCCGTTCATCTTGCTGTTGGTCCCTTTTGAATGAGATAAGAAGAGAAAGGAGAGAGCAGACGAATGCTACGAAGGCTCAAAGAATGTTGTTCTGCTGGATAGAGCTTGAACTGTTCAATTTCGCGCGAGGGACTTCACCTTTTGTATCCAAGAGTCATGATGTAGATGCATACCCCGGCCCTGGCTATGTTTGCTAGAAGCCCCTCCCAAAAGAGAGAGCTTCCCTCGTCTACCGCCGCACCGACCCCAGTCAGGATTCAGTTGCTGTGGGTAGCAAATGAAGTTGGCGGTGGAGATCACCAAGAAAGATGTTGGATCCTTTTTCTTCTGCGATGCGCTCGACTAAGCTCGCCCTGGCCTAGACGGATGGAGTCCAGCGAGCCAGTGGGATGGGACTCGTGCACATCTCAAGACATGCGGAACCTCGACCCGGAAGGTGAACTAGACACAGGTCGGTCGATGATTGCGAGCATCGCCCTTGTCGCCGTCCCTCTCTGCTGACACCCCATGTCAGTCTCCCGGGAGGGGCTTCCGCGTAATGTTCCGCCACGGCGGGTGAGACCACATCCTTGCACGGGGAGGGGCCCGTGAGGAATGAGCATCACTTCTCCTTTGCCGTCCGCAAGAAAAACAACAGAATGATGTTTGACACTGAGGAGCGATGACCCGCGGCCAAGGCCTCGTCTCTGGTCTCGCCGTTGCTTGCTTTCGCAAATCAAAAGTCTTCGACTCACCAGAGGATGCACGGGGCTTGTGTCGGCAGTCGTGCTGGCCACGTCTCGCTGCTCAGGAGGAGAGCTGCAACGCTGGTCTGACCACCGAACAACGCACTTGTTGATCTTTCGAGTCTTACCGCCGCCTATGTGGTCGAAGAAAGAAGCACAGCAGATACGGCGTTCTGTTCAAATTTCTTTGCGGTTGGAAAAGTTTTTTCTGCGTCGAAGGAAAAAACAACAATAATAATAATCATAGCTGAGGCGCTGTGGTGTCTGAGATGTTCCCACTTGGTAGATCGTACGTAGGGAGAAGTGAGTACACAGAACTGACAGAGTTTTTTTCTTGGGATTCGGGAGGGGGCATCAGCTTGACATTTGCACATTTCGCACACTAAGTCGAGACATTGACGCATCGGGGCTTCCTGAAAGTGACTCGAAGAAGAGCGAGGCGTGAGGTGAGTCTCCCACCCCTCGTGTTGGTGAAGAAGGGAAGGGAGACGGCCTCATGCGGTTGGTCGTCATTTTGGCGCTGCTGCGGCCTCGCAATGTTTCCCCCCCTTGTTGAGAAAAGAACCTACTTAAGCGAAACTCGATGCAGCAGTCCAATCCCAGAAGAGTTACATAACAATAACCGGTGCATTCCCAGAGGTTTGGCTGCCCCCGGCCAGAAGGATTCTCACATAACATGCAGAAGAAAAAGCAATTCTCGAGGAGATCCGAGTGTCCTCCCAGAGGTAACAAGGGCCCCAACAAGCAACGAGAACTGCGAAGCTCAGACAATGATGCCAGGTTTCGCATATAACGAGGCGTTCACGGACGCGTGCGACGGAAGATTCGTGAGAGCAGAGCTCGTGGTAAGGCGCACGCCTCAAGTTCTCCGTCATTCGCCTTTTCCCCCGTTTCTTATTCCTCTCATAGATCTACTTGCCAGATATCCCTGCTCTTTGGATGTAGCTTCCAAGATCCGGCAGGGTCCCTTTTTCGATCTGCGTTCAGGTGCCGAGGGATGGCCCCTCACCCCTTGCCATGCATATGCGGTTGATGTGTGTAACGGAAAACGCGGGACGAAAACGACATCGGTCGATGGGAACATATCAAAAGCAAGAAATCGGAGACTCGTGATGCATCTTGCCTTGGTTTGAGATCATGTAAGTGCCCGCAAGTCTTTTTGCGAGTGCGAGCGTGATGGACCAACTGGCGTTGGTGTATTGCCGCTCAGACCATCATCGGTATCTAAGACGAGTGTGACTGAGTGGTCATCAGCGACTGCGAATAATTTCTATCAGATGTGATTCAATGTTGCTTTCTTTTCCAAGATGCCCCCGCATGTTCTTGTGGGACTCTGGAATAACTTGTCATCCCTGGCACAGAGATCGAGAATCTCTCGCTTCGACTTTGCGCAATCGCTTCCCCATTCCGTGGTAGTGGTTCCTCGCGTGAGACACATGATTGATCGCTGAACAAGATTTTTTTCATCCTCCGATGAGAGAACTATAAGTCCGTGAGCCCCAAGGGAGGGCCGCGTCAAGGGTCCTGGTTGTGCCAGGCGACGGGGAACAGCATTCCGTCTGAGACTCTACTTCCCAACTCGTCACCAATAGCTCGAATCAGGCATGAGGAAATCGTCTGAAAAATGATGCCCGATCTCGGTTGCCCTTTGCTGATCTCGTATTTTGACACACAGCTTCCAAATTCTTGGAAAGGGATGACGCCTGTATTGTTTGATGACATACTGACAAGGTTCCGATTCCATGGTTTATGGGTATTTTCCTCAAAAGTTGGGCGGCTGCAGATTACTCGATCCGAATTTTCCGGGAGCATATCGTCGGGGATTGATGCAAGGGGCCGGAGGATGACGGGGAGCCGCAGCCGCCCTCCCGTCGTCCGGTAGGGACTCGCCCACGGGACGGTAGAACCCGAGTGGATCAGTACTCTGGGCCGGAATACCTAATATGATTGAGGTCTCGGTATGCGCATCTTGGTCATATGAGAGGGAGATATGACTGTGCTTCTTTTGACTGCGTGTAACCGTCGCCGCGTTGCTAAACCGCATCATTGTGAGACAATAAGAGGCTGCTAACCCTACCTGGTGTAAAACGCACAATCTGACTTCGTCAAAATTTTCAGTGCTGTCAATTATAACTAACCTCACTGCTTTTCGGTACTCAATGATACCAAGGACAGTCATTATGAACATAAGAGAAGCCCACTCAGACGACCTTACAGGCATGTCAACGCAAAGTTTCAACATCGAAAGTAATCATACGTAGCACGGTAGATAAATTGATGTAGTCGTCTAAACCGCTTGGTGCGCGTTCCATGGAGGACTCTAGGGAAGAATCAACTATGACGAAATTATGACATTCAGTCTCTTGCCGAGCTTCAAAGCTGCATAGGTAGATCTAGAATGAGATTTTGAGGTCACTTTTAAGTCAAGTTGAGGTTTCTTCAATTGTCTATGCTTAATTCTATTCATGACCAAACAAATAATTACTCTAGATCAAGTCCTGACAGTATCTTTGTTATGAGAATCAACGAGCATCCCCCCCACAACTTCGAGTAAGGTAGGGAAGACGTCAATTTTCTTTATGACCCGAAGGACCTGGAAGATTGGGGGAGCTTAAAGATTGAATGTTGTAGTCATTATTTGAACTCAGCACCGATAGCCCAAATTCATCTAAGCTTTTCCGCGCACTCTATTAAGCTGAAGTTGTCCCTTTCTCGATGAAATTGGAGCTCTTTCGGAGTGAAGGTTGAAGGCATATGAGTTCGTTTTCGCTCAAGTTTCCAGGTCACCTTGACTTTGCAAGACAACTATGTCAATCAAGTAAGTACCAACAGAAAGCTGATACATGCGAGGGCGATCAAGGAGCCCCATTGTTGAATTGACTGTGGAGTTTTAACGGGTCAAGACTCTTTGTCTTTTCTTCCAAGGCTCAGCGTCAACCTGCTGCAGATTCACACAAGATCTTGACCAATCGAGCCAGGTTTCTGAAGGACCCGAAGCGCTTTGCGAGTAGCACCATTGTAATGCTCCTGAGGTAATAGCTTTTGGTAAGACGTGATAGTCTTCCCAAATGAGGGCTCTGCACATTATCCCGACAAAGTCACTAGTAAACCTACTCACATTTGTTGCTAGGTTATTTAGACCTGCCCTCTGACTAAGATGAACAAGATTTCCACGCCTTGCGGTTCCTAAGGACTTCTTTTGTTGTCTGTCGAGCAGTTGACGGATGTTCGATCTTGGGGTCCTTTCACCTCACTAAGAGCAACTACCTGGTGATACTAATCATTTCCATCGCAGAACGCTCTCAGTATCTAGCCTGTTCTATGAGGCTGGCACTCAGGCAAAGGGAAAGTCGGTATACGACAGAATTCAGTGTATTATTCCACTGGCCACCCGATATCTTCCTTTCTGGTCCCCTCGACGGAAGGATGAACAAGCGACCGATGGATTCCATCTCCATTTCTCACACTTTTCATCTTACCCTGCTTCTCATCGCCGTAACCCCATCTACTTCCCAAGGCATGGCACTCACTTTAGTCGACTCTTGGATATGAATGTGCAAAAGGTTCATGTGTCTTTATCAATTTTGACGAGAATTGAGAATCAGGTCCTCTTCGGACTTCACGACCGCTGCCTTCAGTCCTCGATTGCCCGTCTGACCTGCGTAATTCAAGCGATTCATCAACTAAGGTACATTTGAGAAGGCAAATTTTGGAACAACCTTACACCTTCCATTTCAAATGGGGCAATCATCTTTCCCATCACATTTTCCAGCCAAGGTCGATTCTCTAATATAGCCATTCGGAGTACTCTACCCCTTTCCACCTTCACCTTTCATCTTTACCTTTCACCTTCACCTTTGCCACAACCTCATGACTCTCACACCACACCTTCACTAGCCTCACCTTTCAAAGACTTAAAGAAAGTCGAATCCTTCACTAAGTACCTAAGGTAGCCCTCTATTTGGACTCCCAGATTCCAGGCTCTCAGTCTTTCTTATATTCCTCACAATCTCAGCTTCACCTTTCTTTTCCAGACAGTTCACCCAGCCTGTGACCATCGTCACGTGCCTAACGACCTCTCAACCGCCCAACGACCGGCACCTTTCTTTCCTCCTCTGTACCCGCCTCCTTCGACCCGCCTGCCGCCTTGAACCGTCCTCCAACCGCCCATCTTCCCATCCTACCAACTACGAGCTTAAAACTCCTTCTCCCATCCCACAACCAAGCCGATTCTTTTTCTCCCTCCTTCATCCAAACCCAAGGACAACCAGTATTCCGCCTGAAACAATTATCTTGCTTCTTTCTCTGCTCATCCAGTCTTTCAACTCTGTCACCAATCACCAAACAGATCAAAGACTGACTGTCAATTTGCGAGTACATCATCGTCCACAAAACTTCAAGTATCACTTGTTCTATTCAAGACAGATACTTTCGCTACTTCAGTCTCTAGTAAGTATCTCCATCGGAAAGCAAACCTTTTCCCTATGCAATTACTCGCTAACCTCCATCATAGCAAACCACCTAACATCAAGACAAGCCGCTGTCCAAGCTGCCAACTTCACAATGGCTGGTTTCGATCTTCTCACTGGATCCCCTGAGCACATTGCTGCCCTCCAAGGTCTGCTCAATGCCCCCTACGATGGTCGCATGCATGCCAACACTACTGGGGGCAACGACTGTCAAGCCATTCTTCCCAGCTCTGTCTATGGTGCCGGTATCGGCCAGGACGCTCAGCAGCACACCAACACTCATCAGTATGGCACCAACAACTTCAACCACACTTTGGCCATGAACCATGCGATTGAAGCAAGTTTGCTCCAAGGCATGGCCGGAGTTAATCTCGCTCCTACCAATGCCACTGAACCAGAGAGCCGTCACACCACCATTGACAACGCCCATACTCAACGCCGAGTTGGCTCATCTTCCAGCCATGGGTCTTCAAGCACCGACCGGCTCTCCATCTCGTCCCGCGCCCGTCATACCCCAGCCTACCAAAACGTCACCGGCTGTAAAGCTTCTGGGAGTGCCGGAAAGGGTAAAGGCAAGGGTAGCGAGAACACCAACTCTTCTCCACCCACCACTATCTCTCCCGATTCCACCTCTGCAAATCACGGCAGCTCCAATACCAACACTCAAGGCCAGAAGCTCAATGCGCAGGATCAAACTCCCGAGAGAGGTCCTGGTTCCAATCACTGGGTTCTGCCTCAATTTCGCGGCCAAGGATTGCCTGTTCGGGAGCCCGTGAATGCTGGTTCTCAAAACAACTGCCTTGGCGGCCCTCGTGCGATTTTTGCTGGCCAAATGCATCCACGGCCGCAGCAGTCTGGCTCTGCATCGAACTACAACCGAGTTTTCAACACTCAGCCAGGTGTTGTGATGCCTTCGACCCACCGCGATAATGCGAAGCCTCTCAACAGCCAAGCTCCAATCGGCACAGGTCGATGGGAAAATCATCCCTTGAGGGAGCTGCTCACTCCTCAGGCCACATCTGTCTGGGGTCAGCAGACCCCTCGGCCTGCGGTTGCTCAGAAGGGTTTCCAATCTTACGCTCCGGTTGGCGATTTTCGACCAATGAATGCCGTCACTCGAACATTCTTCCGCCCCGAGTGCGATCCCCAGAAGGATCTCAAGATGGCCCAGGGTGTCTCGGCTAACTACAAGGGCGACGCTTTGAACCCGCGCAACCTTTCGGATGACATTCCAGAGTGCAAGAACGTTTCTTTCTTCTTGACCAACCTCCCAGCTGATGTCACCTACAGCCAGCTCCTGGGTCAAATTCGTGGCATGGGACGGGTCTGGGCCACTGTGATAAACCCTCCTGATGGTCACGACCACTTCACTTCGGCTGCCAAGTTGGTGTTCTTCGAGCTTGCTGCTGCGCAGCGCTTCTACGCCCACTGCAGAAACCCGGCCCGCCGTCTTATTATCAGCGGCTACGCGGTCAAGATTGTCCGCAATCGAGTTCGAAAGGCCGAGGAAGACGTCGGTGGCTACCACTCTCGTGTTCTGGTCGTCACAGGCGAGCTGTCCTTTGTCAATAAGGATACTCTGCTACGTTACTTCCGCACCAAGCTCGATTTTGACACCGAGGAGGTCATCACCCTGGTTCAAGACCCTCAGACTGGAATGGGCGAGTTGGAAATGCGATTCGCCTGCTATCGCAACCAGGCCGAGTCCGCTCGTCAAGCGTTGAGCAAGGAGTACCCTCCTGGCGCCACCCTTCCAGACGGCCGGATGTCTCCAATCTGGGAGCTCAGATACGGCGTCGACCCTTGCTCAATCTGAGAGCTTGAACCAGTCACCTCCTTGGTTCAATGATGAGAGATTTGTGACGGGATTTGATAGGTAGTCACTCCAGCCAAGCATACCACGACGGATAGGTTGGAACTTGGAAGTGGAGATGGATTCACTTCCGCTTGTTTTGGAAGCAAGAGGTTGTGAATATTGGGTCTAGTTTGTACCGAGATACCCAGGCGTTTGTTCTCATTTTATTTCTGGGCACATTCTACCATCATAGACTTCGGTCAAAATTGGTATTGGAACAATGGTCGACAAATAGTGCTTGCTTTCGGACCTCTTTGGACAGTGAGGGGGCTTTCGGAATAGACACAGAAACACGGGCAGTCTTGGAAGCCGTCCTACAAATTTTTATTTTTTTTGGTCTTTGACTTGCATAGCATTTTGATTTTACTAGTTGTCGGTGGTTTTTAGTTGACAATCGACTTCCTCAAAGTATCATGAAGCCTCAACAAGACCAACTTCAACGCGCCTTCCAGAAGTAAGGATGTTTTAGGATGACATAAGCACAGGTTAGATTCTACAGGTACCTAGTCTGGGGAAGGGACGAGATCCCCAGCTCTTTCCTCTTGGAGATGTGCAGGTGTGGTCTGTGCGCAGGGTTCTTCGCCCATGCAATTGGGCAAGCTCGGCGTGACGCAACCCCCACACCTTCCTTCATACTCGGTGGTGGCGGAATCGAATATTCAACTTCTCACCCTCAACTTACCCCCATTACCTTACTTGGCAAGAGAAAGACACCAAGGCTCGAGGCTCGAGGCTCATGAGCACGTCAGCAAGGATGAAGGAAGCCGGCGAGACCTCAGACACCCCATCGAAGGGAATGAAAACTTCCCACCAGCGGAAGGATACGTCCTCCACGAAAGTCAATCCTGTCAACGCAACTCCGGTCGCTAAAAGCTCACAATCAACGATGGCAACAAGTACGACAGAAGGGCCAATTATTGACAACTCAATCTTCACAGTCATCAACAGTGATGGCACAACTTCCTACTACACAGGCACTGGAGAGCTAATAGACGGCGGGATTTCAATGCCCACCGAAGCCACAAAGGAAGTCACCGACAGCGACCGCGTCACTGCAAAGGGTTCACTCAATCTACGCTCAAAGAAGACTGAGAGAATGAAGCGGAAACTCGAGAAGAAGACCGCCAAGTCCTCGGCTCGCCGGCCAACTCAACTCCTCGATCTTCCAAATGAGACTCTTGTCGATATCATCAGCCACATGCTCCCCAGCGAGGTTTTAAAGACTGCCCAGACCTGCAAGACCCTCCGCAAGCTCATTCAACACAACGAGAAGCTCCTCTCGCGTAAAATCATCTCTCAACGATACGGCGTTCTCTCAAAGTGCTTCCGGCTCCCAGTCACACTCGATGAGATCGACCCTGAGCTTCACCCAGTCCTCCAGAATGACGCCAGGATCGACATGCTCGGCATCCACCGGCGATACGTCCATATCCCTCAACCCCAGCCCTACGTCTTATGTACCTGCCTCACTTGTGTCTTACGATGGCAGGCCTGCTGCGTCATTGTCGACTTCAACAAGTGGCGCCCCAACCTTGACTCTGGAGTTCCCATCACTATCATGCGTCGGGGACAAGACGATGCTTGGAATATAGTATGGAAAGATAGAATACTAGATATCGTTCTCCAAGCCATCCGCTCTCCGCTCGCCTACGCTCATCTCCTCGAGGTTCATCTCAACAGCACCTGTGCCGCGATCAAGAGACAGAGAGCGAACAAGGGCAACCGGCGCCGTCACTTTGAGATGTCCGAGGCCGATGCGGAGTCCCTCACGGACGACTTCTTGGAGGGTAACGGCCCGCCTACCATCGATCTTCCATACTCACGGGATAACTATTACATGCTCGAGGCGTACATGCCTGCAAGAACCTGGCTCAAAGACGAAGAGAAATGGGTCTACATCCCGGCAGATTTCCACGACAGAGACCTCGACTGGGTGGCGAAGCGATGGGGCCCGGAATGGGGCGTCGCACAAGAACGGGGCAGTGGCTTTCGGGTGGTTGAGAAGGGACCGGCTTGAATGCTATCGAGGATCCTTCACTGTACTTGGAAATCAAGAAGTGCTACCAAGCCGTCAAGCGTACAAGCATGATGGCCCGTTGGATTTGGTTCCGTTCATCTTCAGAGTGGTCGATTCAGAAGTCGCACAGCAGTGGAAAGCATCTTGGCTGCCGTTTTTGAAACCGTCCTGGAGGCCATTGGCGAACATGGCAGTCCACTCGGATACGAGAGATTTGGCGGGCATGGCATTGGCCATTAAGCTGTTGGCGTAGCCGGAAGTGATTGAGTTCTCTAACAAGGGAGGCCTCGTTTATCACACGACTGCACATGAGGTGACGAGTGACGAAGATCATAACTGATATGGAAACAATGGCCTTTGCTGAGAAAATAAAATTGGGGTTTGAAACAAATCACTGTTTTTGCCTCCTTCGGCCTTCCTTCGGACTCTCCTCGTTGTCTCCTGTGTCTCCTTCTTGTTAATGGTCCAAGACTGATCCAGACACAGCCATAGTTCACCTCGCCCACGACCTTACACCTGAGTCTCGGGCCTCTTCGTAAAGACACAGTCTAACTTTGCAGGCTTAATGATCAGCTGGAACTTAGCCTCTTCTCTGAAAGTCTTGCCGTCTTCCCCAGGGGCGAATTCGAAGTCATAGTTCCAGAGAGTGTAGGCGATAGTGAGGCGGAGGACATTCCAAGCCAGACGCCTTCCCACACAGTCATATCGACCTAGGCACACGATGATCAGCTAAGCCTTCTATATTGTGAGATGAAAGAGACTTTATTCACCGAAGCTGAAGGGCAAGAAAGCCCTGCGGTCAACGATCAATTCCGGACGAGTCGTCCAGCGCTCGGGGATGAACTCGTTGGGATACCTCCAATATTTGTGGCCTATCATGATCATCAGTCATGAAAAATCATACATCTCACCCAGGTTTGTGGGCTTACTTCGATGATAGCAGTGTATCGGGGTACACAAAGTCACGTTTCCGGGGATGTACGTCCCATCAATCGTCACCCCCTCCGGCGGAGCCATCCTGGGCCCGTTGATTGGCGCAGGCGCATACATTCGCAGGGTCTCACTGATGACGGCCTCGAGCAGCACAAGCTTATTGAGGTCCGCCACAGCGAACTCTCCCTCTAGAGTCTTGGAGTGCGTGGGCGCAATTTCCTCGTAAAGACGCTGGCGGAGTCTGGCGTCGCGGGCGATGTAGTAGAAGGCGTACCCAAGGGTACAGGAGATTGTATCTCTGATTCTGTTTAGCATGCGAGTTTTTCTCGCAAAGAGTGGCATTGTAAACACGTACGTCGCTCCGATAAGGATAGCTTGAGAGTCGCTGTACATGATATTGACGTTGTAGAATGACTTGGGCTTCTCAGACTTGTAGTCGTCGAGAAAGTACTTCAACATGTCATGCGATTCATCGGAGTCAACCTATTCAAGTCATCAGCAATACTTTCCCATCGTACCTCCCAGCCACTCTTAACTTACAGCAATCCTCTCATCAACAAGCCGAACCCCCAAATCCTCAAACTCCCTCTGCATTCCCATTCGCGGCAACTTCGCCAAGAACACAAGCGGCCAAGGCGTCTGCCCCAGTCGAGAGCCCAACTTGAAGGTTGTCTCAATGAGGTCAAGCATCCTGTCTTCCCGGCCATCTCTGACGGTGCCGAAATCGCGGCCGTAGCCTACGCGGCCCATATTGTCAAAGGGAATGAGTTTTGCGTAGTGCGAGGCATTGATAGGCTTTCTTTGGACTTCATCGAGGCGGGAAAGCCAGGTTCGGAGGACGATGCGGGTTTCTTCTTCGTATTTTTCAAGAGCTCGAGGGGTGTTAGCGGATTCGAATGATGGATCGACAACTCTGTGATAATTACGACGCCTGGAAGGGAGAGCGGGTATGTGGTGTCACCTTTACTTCCTAGAGCCTGGTCCCAGACTTTACGTCTGTCGCGGTGTACCTCATTGTGCGAAAGGGAATCCAAATTCAACTCGCCCTTTGTCCTTAAGGCGTCGTAAAATCCGGTGTTGCGCTTAGTGCACTTTGTCTGTGGTCCGTGGATCTTGTTGATGGCGTCTAAGTTGACGATTGAAATGTCATTCGGGCCTGCGGTCGTATTAACGAGTGCTCAAAACCCCATGCTTATTAATTGTGTTTGTCGGTGAACTGGGGGCCCTTACCAACACGCACAAATTCTCCGTGCTTCTCGTGCATCTCGAGGTATTTGTCGTGTAATTTCCAATCTCTGTTGATCCACATGATGTAGGGCTTCATCATCTTGGCCGGGACAGGACCGGGGAATCGGCGTAGGGGGTGGAAGAGTAGGCGATACACCCCAATACTAGTGAAGAGGGACGCGAAATAAGAGCTAGATATCGCGATATGCGCCGTAATACCCTTTGCGAATCCCAAAGTTGTGACGCACTTGAGGCACAGCAGTAGCAGTGTAACGCCATGGACGACTAAGATGTTGAAAACTTCCATGCTCCTGTGCCCGCGGATGAAATAGCCCCAGTGAGATAGGAGACCAGCTCCCGCCGCCAGGGCGCAGGCTGAGCCCACCCCGGTTCCAAGGTTAGCGCTCAGTGTCCATAGTAATTCTTGCATCGTGGTTCAGTTGCGAAGTCGCTGTTGCTTGGGTATAGTATTAGGTATTGAGGTCCGCATCTACCAAGTTAAGGGATGTTCAGGACCCTGAGCTCAATTATATCTCCCGACTGAGCTTCCCCTCAGGTGCCGAGGCCAGGTTACTTCGGTCGTGCAGTGTCCAGCACATCTGATACACCAGAAAGATTTCCACCTTTGGAGACATTGGGGTATCTCCCGAAGAATGCTCTCATGGGATAGCCCTGTAATTTGTGCAAGAATTCGGCCGGCGGCCCGTCGGTCGTCAGTAGTCTGACCAGCAGACATAGAGCCCTAGGTATTCGAGAATTCCGATGCTGCTGTTTGCAGACGTTCTTTCTCTCTGGCACGATCTGAAGAGTTGAGTGGGAGCTTCTCCGCAGGATCCAATACAAGTTGCGACGACTGAGCGGGATCTGGTTCCCAAAGAAGGATCCAGGCTCTCGTAGTTCCCAGGTGGTAGATTTCGTGGAAAACGAGAAGAACAAGTCACGATGAACCATTGTTTGGTGTTCTCAATAACACACATCCTTCTACCTTACCTAGGACCGGCACTCTCGTAGAAAAAACCAATAGTTGTAGAGCGAGCATGTGAAAATGATATGGACGTGGTTCGGTGTGTCACTGGAATCAAGGCCAGTGCCAAACGGAAATTTTTTGGGGTTCTCACACATGGTCAGAGTAAATTACGCGTGCCCCAGCTTCATTACACAAGACAACAACTCATAGGATTGAAGTAAATGTGTTATAGATTTGCATGCCGGGGCCAGATACCAACCTCAAGACGCCCTGAGCCACTCAGGACCTAGGTATGACAATATTGCTTGACTACGCAGCTTACCAACGGCCCGTCGGAAGGATCTGACAGAAGTGTTGGATTTACAAAAACGACATTCAGTCACTTCATGCGAATGCGAACGTGCGTAGGTTTTGCTGCAATGACGTATGCATGTTTGGTAAATGTCGATTATTAATCATAAACTATGAAACTTCGAAACGCCTATGCCCTCAAAATCATGTGCCCACCGTGGTATTCAATTCTAATGCATCCCAATCTTTGCGTGAAAATCGTCATAGTTCGTACCCAGGTCTAGCAACGACCCCTGCGGCCGCCCCATCCTCCTCCCATGCCACCGCCGTATCCGGGTCTGCCATATCCACCATAACCGCCGCCGAAGCCGGGTCGGGGACCGGGGCCGCATGGCCTAGGCCCACCCATCATGCCGCCGTGATGGCCATGGTGGTGAGTCTGTACGATCACCGGGCGGGGGCCGTAGGCAGGTCCGCCGTAGCCACCTCCGTATCCTCTGCGTCTTGATAGGCCGAAGCACATGATGTGTTGGTCGTGTAAGTGGGTTGAGATAGCTTATAGGGTGTGCAGAAGTTGCTGAATTTTAGATCAGTCGTATGTGATTTCAGTGGTTTTGCGACTTTGCGTTGATTGTTTGGGTGTGATGTTGGTTGAGAGTTTGTAAACTTGAATTTGGTTCTCAATGAGAAGTTGAGTTTTCTTGTAGTTATAGTTGGTTGTAACGATGAGTAGCATAATCACCATCGATAGAGGGGGAAAATCGTTCCACTTTATAGATAGTCTGCTTGATGCTTCCAGCTGCCCAACATAGTGCTGCCGACCCTTCGTGCGTCATTTCGTCCCGTCCGGAGAGCGCTAAAGTGCCAATGCCCCGAGTCGACACTAGGATAAAGGAAACAACTTGGCTCATGTCACCAAGTCAAGAGGGGCCACGCAATCGGTCTCCGCACAAAAGACAGCGAAAAACCTAGTCCCACGTCACTGAGAACGCCGCAAGCAGCACTCCCAAGTCGCTAAACGGCTCGAGCGGCCGAAGGCGAAGCCTTCAAGGAGTCAAGGTTCATCCCAGACAACGTGATTGTGGCTTTTGGGTGCTGAGCCACAATGCGTTCCGCTGTCGCTGCTAGACCTCGGTCAATGCCGAGCCACACCGATGCCCCGTTGAAGAATCCCGAGGTGTCGCCACATTCCGAGACACTGGGCGGACCCGAGCGTTCTCGTGAAGTGACCAATTGGGGGGCCGTTGGTCTTCGGCCCCGGATGGCCGGCATGGTTTGGTGCCGCATTTGGTGTGCCAAGTTCACCGAATCGGCTTGGTGTCTTGGCCATCGTCTGTTCTTGGGTTTTCTTCAGCTGCTCTGCATCGAATTGGCCGATTTTTGGAGTTTTGCTGAGTAAAGCCTGTTGAGAAGTCAGTTGAGTCGAGTCGTCCAATGTCTCGAATACCTTTCGAACGTCATTCTGTGGCTTGAGCTGCTTGACTCAGAAGTCCTAGGGCCCGTTCTCGAAGCTTTGCGTGACGACGGGGTAGTTAGTAATTGGACGCACGCGAGACTTGGTAGCACCTGCTTGCCTTGCTCAGCCAGTGATCCCCCAGGACCGCGCTGTGAATCGCTGCAACTCATCCTAAGAGCCAAGTTGGATGTTCCAGGACGCAGGCATAATCTAACTGTTTCTTAGTGAGGCCTTGGATGTGATGAGGACTCGATCGCCAATATCGAACTTTGAGTTTGAAAAAACATCCGGAAGAGAAGGAACGCCATGGACCGGAACCCGTAGACCTGTATACGTGACATTGATCAACTGTTGTTTCTTGCTACATCTCCTCTTGATCCTTCATTTTCATATCTTTGCCGTCTGAGTCGTTCACGATTTTGAAACTTGTAAGCCGCCTTGAACACACTGAACCACGCCAACCAACGCTCCGAGCACTAAAACCGAAATGGCCAACCAGAAAGTGCACCAAACAACCCTGTTTCGACGATCATGCCACCATTGAGACAAAGTACGAGGAGTAACATCATCATATGCTTGCTTGAGGACAATCAGACGGTTCCTCCAGAAATTAAACCTTTCGATTCTCCGGGCTTCTGCCGATAGCGTTCCACTGGCCCCAAGGCCCCAGTCAATGGGAAGACATGGCTGTTTGGATAGAAGCTTCTGATACCAAGACCATCGTCGCCGCTTAGATATACCAGAACCACCGAACTCTGACTCGGGAAAGAGCAGTTGCAATGTCTCCAGAGTCTCTTCAAGAATCCCAGCTGGAAAGATTGAGCTGAATGAGAATCGTATCAGTGTCGTATCATTGTATTAACGCTTCAGACACCCGATGAGTCTACTTGCCTTCGGTGGCATCGAAGAAAAGCAACGTGATGAAAAACCACTACTTTCATGCCATTCTCTTCTTCGATAAGTAGAAGATGATCTGCCAAGTTGTCCGTGAATTCAATTTGAATACCACCAATTGCGACCAAACTCCAAGCATGAAACGTCTTAGGCAAGCGGACTCCTTTCACGTCAAGGCGGGGCCCCTCATCAAGATATTCCACGATGCAGTCTTTCAAACAACCTGAGGTCCATACAAGATGGTGGTGCGGGAAAGCCTCGCCCTGAACCGGTCCAAATTTGAGCATGAGCAAAAGGCGCAGCGCTAGATTAATGGTTGTCTCTTGCGCTTTGTAGTTTGGTCGTTTTCCATCGTTATCTCCGAAATAGATGGACAGATCGTCCTTCGTGATTGTATCTGCACTCGACAAATAGAGGATCAAAGCCTTGAGTTCCCCTGGTTCCTTGAAAGCTATATAGAGGCCATCGTTGTATCCGGCTATTACACCCCATTGGCGATAGCAGTACCCTAGGTAGGCAGATTGGCTACAAGGCGTGTTGGTTGGTAATCGTCCATAGCGAGCAACGACACTAGCTTCCGGTAGACTGCACAAAGTTGCAGCAAGGTCTCGAAAGTCTGCTTCCCTCAACTCAATCATTTAGTTCAGTTGTGAGGTCGAGAAAGAATTCAGAACGAGGTATGTCGAAACGGGAAGAAACAAGAACATCGTTTGTATACCTTTTCGAAGATATCGGGATCAGGCTGTCGCCTCACTCTGCAAAAGCTGGACGGCAGTCCTCAGATTGATGGATCCACACTTCCCTAGCGTTTTTACACTTCGCGGCCACCTATTGTTAACAGATTACCCACCCTTCACCTGCCTCAAGAAACATGCACATTTGTGCACCCAGTACAAAATAGCTTGGGGTTTCATGCTTGAGATGCCTCATTCGAAAGATTATTGGGCAAACTCAAATGACACCGAATTGTGGCTGACATGCACCGACAGTTGAACTTGATGATAGGGTGATAACGTGCAGGTGTCATGGAATTTCATTTGGCACATTCGTGGAGCGCTGACCGCTGGACGCCACGCCGCCTCATCGTGCAAGGAATTTTCCTCGGCTAGGTACGTTGCCTTGCATCGTTCGCCATGTCCGCAAAGTCGAGAATGGGGAGGAAATCATCCCGTGCCTCATCCTTTAGATCTCGCTCTGACAGCGTCGTTTTCCTTGGAAATCCTCTCCAACGGAGAAATTTCCGCGCGACTTTGTACAATGCCTCAATCCAGGCGTCCACGATGGCCAAATCCCCAAGACTCCTGCGGTCAGGAGATACTCAACATGATTCTCACGAGAAAAAGGGCATGGTTTGCCAGTGGACTAGCCCTTGAAAAATATTCCACAGACCTGGAGCCGAATCTTCTCGCCGTCTTGAACAGCATTGGTCTTGAACGTGGCGAGATTTATGTTCAACTCTACATGATCGGCAGGGTTGAAACAACATCTGAGCCTACAATAATGGTCTGTTGCATGAACGAAGGCATCAGATCTCGCGTGAAGAACGAATTGCGAGCGAACCCTACACTACGATCTTGTCGCGAGTTCCTCATCCACGGGATTCCGCATCCACTGGAGCAAATGCGTCCGGCACGACCTCTCGCAGGAACCAGCGATTCCTGGGATCGATACCAAGCAGAGTGTGAATCGACCTCACCTCTTGACGATGTCTTCTCTCAAACGACATCGCTTAGTCTAGGACGTCGTCTCTCCAAGCCCCAAAACGACAAAGAGGCAACATTTTGGGCCACGGGTGGTGTCTTTCTCCAGATTGACGGCGCGTATTTCCAATTGACAGCTGAACATAGCTCAAATGATATTTACGAGGACCAAGATGATCTCCATAGGCCAGAAACGGACATGGACCCAGACAATTATTCAATCAACGGTAGCGACGATGACGAAATAATAGAGGAATCCCCGATCACCTTCGATGTTTTGAGCAAAGGAAGTTTAACTCCGAGGAGGAGCTCCATTTCTCAACGATCCTTCTCGATCAATCAATCGGAGAACTCAATTTGGGACAATGAGAGCTCCCATGCGGATGACTGGACGGGTCAAGAAGTTACAAGATCAGATCTTGGAACGTCACCTAACCGCAATAGTCAGATCCGTGGCAACTTTGCTGATATGCCGCACCTCAAAGCTACAAAGAAAGTCGGGGTGATCAGCATCCGCAGCAGCCGAGGGTCATCCCCAGGGCTCGATTATGCACTCGTGCTCACACCACCCCCAAAGGTCTCCGATTCTATTAACAACCTCGAAATTCCGATTGGAGATACGACGAGATTGCTCAAAATACGCAATTGTGATTCAATGCCTCCGGGAAGGAAGAGCATAGTCGTAGCTGGGGAGGCTGGGTCTATTCGAACGGGTGCTCACCTACCCGGGAGAACTTTATTCAAAAGGGCCGATCAAAACTCCTTTCAAAGTCTTCAAATTGTGCGGCTGAACGACAGCGAGTTCAACTTCGGGGATTCGGGAGGAGCTGTACTGGACCAAGAGTCAGGCGCCTTCTACGGCCATATAGTCAGTGGCTGTCCGGGTACAGGAATAGCTTACTTGGTTCCGGCCGTCGAAGTCTTTGACGACCTTGCCTCTATGGGCTTCCACGTCATTATGGCTTCATGCGACTCCGAGATCAATTTGGCCGCTATAGTTAGGCCTCACAGTTGGTGGACTGGTAATTACCTCGTTCCTAAGTCGCCCAGCAGAGACGCCTCAACTCAAACCGATAATGCCCTACTTCCTACGCCACCCCTTTCACAAATAGGGAGCGACATTGATCTGCCTCAAAGAGGAATCACACAGTATCTTAGCCCATTGGAGCTGGAATACGAATCCTTCGCACCTAGCTGGCCATATTTCATTGGCCCTGAGAGATCAACTCTGATTGCTTTATTCAATGACAGAATGCTAGACAATATTCGAAACAAGCATGCTAATGATATGTGGGCTATGTTCTACGATTACGATGCAACTTCATCTTCTCACAAAATCCATAAAGTTCAAGACTTTTGTCGAATGGCAACACTAGACTCTTTGGAAACCAATGCAACTGAAAGGTCGACTATATGGCTGGATCAGCGAGAAAGCCGAAGCCATCAACCCCGCTCATTCCTAGGCATTCTCACAGCAAGGGAGCTTTTCGAACAAATGAGTCTCAAGGTTCGAAAACCGTGTGTTATCTGATCAATTAAGTTGCTGACTTCTCAATAGCGGTTTGGAGAGAGTGGACACCTTGATGCCGACAGACGAATTCTGTAAGTTCAAGTTGATCCGTAAATCATCTGATTCCTCTGACGCCAGGAATAGATTCGTTCAAAATCCTGACCCGTATTGAATACTTTGCCTTGCCATGACTAGCTCTAGAGCAGAGCGAGAGGGATTAGCAGAGGCTATTTACAAACATGTGACCTTTCGGCCCTATTTTGGGGTCGCAATACGCGTGAGTAGCTAAGTCAAATATGCAATATGGAATTTCCCAATAACTAGTTAGCAGTCACCGGGTCTGAGAACATTCAACCTGCATTTTCAGATTCCGACCTTCGTCTTGCGGTATCGCAAGGGAAATTCTAACGGCGACAGTGGAACAGACGAGATTCGCCAGTCGATAGATCTTTCTTTTCTCTTTCCATCCACGCGTCGAACTCATGATGCGAGCACCCCGCAGTCTCTAGATGAGCGTCACATCTCACTGCTAGTGACAGGATTTGACGAAGCAAGGTGGACGGCCTACTGTTTTGCCGATTCACACTTGGATGGCGAAGAAAGCCTCCGGGCTCTCGCCGACTACACGGACAGAGAGTTACTAACAGACCCTGTCTCCTGTGGAAAGTTACCTCTTGGTGCACTGTGGGATCCAAGAGAATACTTTCTTGCTATCTTGCGTATTCGTCTTAGGCAATTCGATAACGAGTGGGCCCGGACGGTACAGTTTCTCGATCAGGCCATTGCGAATCAGGCAAGTCTCATCTTCCAATAGACAGTTGACCAGTTCTAACGCACTCAAAGCTTTCGCAAGAGAGTGACAGAAGAATGCGAGGGTCTCCATTCCAGGACAACAAGCTTGAGTCACAGATTCGACTGGCCCATACTGAAGCCTTGATCACTCAGCTACTTCATACTATCTCAGGAACTATTGAGTCATGGGAAAGATTCCAGGAAGATCAATTAGACTCTTATTTCGACGGGTTGCAGACCCGGCCATCATTCCCTTTTGATGCCTGTCGCCAAGACATGTTAAAGGCAATCGGAAATGTCAGGAACTACGAAGATTCCTTGCACTCGATGAAAAGCTTGTGTCAAGTCAAGTACTCTCCCGTATGGCGATATCAAAAGGTCTCAAAAACACCTAAAGGTTTGTGGCTGACACTGCTACACAGACCCCTCAATATTCAGTACTACAGACCACCAAGCATCAAACAGAGCGAAGGATTCGAATTCTCACGAGCACATTCATGGTGAGTGTTAAGTGAATCAGATAGAATGCTTCCGTGACTTGAATTAACCTGGATTATTGCAGTTATTCATGCCACTTTCCCTAAGCGCGTCTATCATGAGTACCAATATCATGCCTCTCAGTCGCTCATGGCCAGTGTTTTTGCTCACGGCGGTGGTCTTTGCCGTGCTAATGATGGTTCACGTATTCATTGCTACAATTGGGGTCCGAGTTACTGCACAAAGTATGAGTACTACTGTCTCGATCCTCTTCATGAATATGGAGAGACTATTCTATGCGATAATTATCTTCTTCAAACGCTTTGCCGGCAAGTTTCGACAGTTCAAGGCAGGGCAGCCTAAGATAGATCAGGATCTTGAAATCGAAGCCGGCTCTCCGCATCCATCGAGGCTCCTTGAGAGACTGGCATCCCGGAAGAGCGAATCATTGGGAGCAGGAATCATGCACTTGATTCGATCCAAGTTTCATCGGCAGGAACGCGACGCAGCTATGGATCTCAATCTCCCTCACAGAGGCGAAGCAAGGTCTCATGGCCCCCATGACATCGAACTCAACAACATTAAATGTCCTCCAGTACCATAGAGAAGACTGGACCCGTTCTCTATTTCAGCTGGTCGCGGCAAACCCACAGAAAATTCAAGCGATATTCTCAATCTTGTACCTATATTACATCAGCTGCGAACCCTTGCCTAACTTTAGTGACTTGGATGAGACCGCTGATTTGGAACATCGCGTAGTGGTGGAGTCAGGCTGAATGGGAAATATAAAAGCATAGGTTTGTACATCACAATTCTGTTACGACGCCTCAAGATGGCAATTTTCAACATTGTTTGGCTTTCTGCAATACTTTCTAATGTTTTAAACCTCTTCTTCTGCTCCCTTCAAGTTCCCTTGCCGCACTGTAAGATGTCGATGACTCTTTTATATCGGACACCTGAAGTAGAATTGGGATAGGTTGACATTCAGAGATTGGTTCTTGGTGACTGGATCACGCTTCTAAGCAATCGCAGTCTTTTTCCCGGTTGACAAGTCATCCTTATGCTAGATATGTTATGATACTTCTAAGATCAGACAGGAGTCAGGTTCGTCGCTTCTATAGTGTAAAGGGCTTCACATGGAGTCCTATTGACTAATTGTCTCATGTCTGTCTGTAACTCACCAGATGAGCGATGAAAATGAGATAAACTCAACTTCCCTCCCAGGCAAGGTATGGGCCTCGCGTTTCCACGATTTCCTCATTAGTTATCCCAATGTAGTCCTGCTGTTGTGCCAAGAATTCCTTGATTCTTCTGACATTCGTCGGCTTGTCTCCTTCATTGTCTTCGACCAGAGTCTTTAGAAATGTCTGAAGCCGTTCCTGCACCACCTCAACCCTGTACTTGGCCCATTGGTAGTATAGCTCCGAGTGCTCAGAAATTGGTCTGATAGAAGTCAGGACTGAATCGTCCTTAACACAAGGATTTCGGGGACGGAAAGATGTGATCATAGTGATACGCTCCGCGCCGCCGATGGCTGCAAGGGCTTGATGTTCGACATATCTTCCTTGGAGGATGACTGCGGATCCCTAGCAAAGATCAGCACCTCAGTCGCAGTTGAGAAAAAGACAAAAGACTTGTACGTACCATCTGCGGGCCCCTGACCTTGAGGATTTCTCCCGTTCCCGTCTTGATTGCCGTCTCCCCACCTACCATGTTTGTCGCATCACTCATCATGACAACACACACGAAAGGAAAAGCATCGTAATGCCACTTGGTCACGGAGGTGTTGTCTCCAGCCTTCGCCTGGGTCTTGTCCTGGTCACTACTTTTGTTCTGAACGGATATGTTGATGTTGCCGACTTCGTATTGAATGTTGGGAATGAGGTCCACTCCAGCGACTTGGGAGATGATAGCCAACGTCTTCGGGTTGTTCCAAGCTTGGTTCATGAAAGGTGCGTACCTGTCTCTAATGTAAGCTTAACTAGAATAATATGTCCCTGAAAACGATGGAGAATGGTAGGAGCATACTTTGGGCAGTGGCCACGCAGCTGGCACGGCGCAAATTTGGTACTGTGCAAGCAGTTCTCCCAGACCTCGGTGGTAAAGATCTCTTGTCTCATGTTCTGTATGGCCTCTTCTGTGAAAAGAGGGAACGGCTCTGAACATGCGACCGGAGAAATCCCGATGTCTTCGGGCAGTGACACATCTTTGAGAGACAGCTTCTTCGGATCCTGGACGAATGCAAGATGCTTGTCTGGGTTAAAGACCTCGGGCTTGGTTGGGGGTGCTGGCTTTAGGTCGTTCTTGATGATGGGCGTGAAGCTAAGCTTTGCCAAGGGGGATGGAGTTACGAACGTGATATAAGCCATGGCTGTGTTCCCAAACGATGATTGATGATCCTGAGTTTGTGATGTGCAAGTGAAGTACTAAGAGTTGTGGCAACAGCACAATTTTCTGGTAGCTACGACAATCTCTTATCCCCAAGACGAAGGCTCTATGATATAATTAAGATCCAAAAAGTTCGATACACAGCGTACGTTTCACAGGCAAAACATCAACCCAGCCATCGCCAACAGTGTGCGCTAGGTACCTCTAGTTGGTTGGGCTTCGGTGTGCCTGGCACTGCCTACGAGCCCGAAAGTTTGTCGACATCTCATCTAGAGCCAAGAAATGCATGTGTTCACGTGTGTATCGTTTCATCGCCATGATTCTAATCTTTCCAAGTAAGAAAACCCGCGATATCTAACGTGCAACCACTTCGGCTTCTCATCATTGTAGTGCTCACAAACAAGCCGATCCGAGATCGCACCCGATCCCTGTCTCCCGCCCCTCCGCTTGCGGCTATCAGACCCGAGACCTGCTTGCCCCTCCGAACCCCGCACCGAAGACGCGCTCGAGTGTCCGGCTCCCATTTCAGTTTCCCTATCAAGCTCGTGTGTGGGATGTCGCATCGATGAACCGCTATCGGTCCCGCGAGACGATAAATGTGAATCTGCTCAACTATTACCTGAGCAAAATGCCACGAATAGGGGGCTCTTCACCTTACACAGGCCTTCAAGCATTGATCGCCAGCACCTCTCCCCCTGAATTCTAATCAATCTCTTTTGCGCGATGTCTTCCCTTGCATCTTCATTGAAAGACCCCAGTCTCTTTGTCCAGAAGTTGTACATCAACGGGCAATGGGCGCTGTCAGACTCTGGCTACACCTTTCCGGTCACCAACCCGGCAACAGAGGAACTCATCGGAACATGTCCTGAGTCAACCATTGGCGACTTGAACAGCGCCATCGACGCTGCAGCCAAAGCATTCCCGGAATGGAAAGCATTGTCCGGCCGCCAAAGAAGCCGCATCATCGGGCGCATCTTTGATCTCTTGGCCGACAACAAGGAAGACCTTGGCAGGATCATCACCGCCGAAAATGGCAAAGCCAAGGGAGACGCTGAGGGCGAGGTGATGTTTGGGGCAAGCTTCTTCGAGTGGTATGGCGAAGAGGCTGCTCGTATCTACGGAGACATCATCCCCCACAGCAACCCAACTTACAGGACCCGCGTCGTCAAAGAGCCCGTCGGCGTCTGTGGCTTGATCGTACCTTGGAACTTCCCTCTCGCGATGGGTGCCCGCAAGGTCTCGGCAGCTCTAGCAGCCGGGTGTACTGTGGTCATGAAGTCTGATGGACTTACTCCATTCTCTTCAAACGCGCTAGCTGTGCTTTGCGAGAGGGCCGGCGTACCTCCCGGAGTCTTCAACGTTGTCACGGCATTGGAAAACACACCTCAGCTTGGACTTGCATTGTGCGAGTCAGACATCGTGAAGAAGATCTCTTTCACGGGTTCAACCCGAGTTGGCAAATTGTTGATGCAACAGTCAAGCAGCACTCTCAAGAAATTGAGTCTCGAGCTAGGAGGCAATGCACCCTTCATCGTGTTCGATGATGCAGACATGGAAATTGCAATCTCAAGCGTGCTCGTCTCCAAATTTAAAGTCACTGGTCAGACATGCGTGTGCGCCAACCGAATCTTTGTGCAGGAAGGCATCTATGATAGGTTCAGCCAGAGGCTAGTGGAGGAAGTCAGAAAGTTCCGTGTTGGCAACGGCGCCGACGCGTCGGTTACTCATGGACCCTTGACCAATGGTGTTGGCAAGGTAGAGGAGCATATCAAAGACGCCATCTCCAAGAACGCAAAGGTCTTGCTGGGCGGCAACCGGCTACCATCAGCCGGCAAGAACTTCCACGAGCTCACCATTCTCGGAGACGTCGACGACTCTATGAAAGTGACACAGGAAGAGACATTTGGCCCCCTTGCGGCACTGACGAAGTTCTCCACTGAAAAGGAGGTCATTGACAGGGCCAATAAGTCTGAAGTCGGACTAGCCTCCTATGTCATCACGAACAACCTAGCTAGATCAACTCGGGTATCGGAACTTCTGGAGTTTGGAATGGTTGCCATCAACACCGGTGTCATCTCAGACGCGTCTGCGCCGTAAGTACTTCATGATTCGCGTCGTCTTGTTGATCAAAACTAACACCCATCAGATTCGGAGGCGTCAAGCATTCCGGCTTTGGCCGTGAAGGCAGCAAATATGGTCTTGAAGACTACTTGACGATCAAGATGATTGTGACCGGCGGCATCAGCACGCGTCTGTAGATAGTCAGTTGGTGAATAAGCTGAAAAAGCAAAATCAAATTACTTAGGCTGCATGATGCCGACTTATCACATGGAACATTCAAATCAAAGAACCAAGTGAAGTACTACTGTCAATGCAAGTTCTTAACCGTTTGGTCAGTCTCAATTTAGAGTGTCGCTAGAGTTAATTTCAATCCGCTTTTATGCTCATCTCCTTGCAACCTTCTAAACGAGGTGCAAGGTTCCGTTGTTGTTTCCTATTCTCTCATCCAAATTGATAGAGCTACGCACCCACTGGCCGTTGCGGGACAGCTCAGCCTCGAGAACCTGGCCACCCTGAACCAGACGGGCGTCCCGTGCAGAGGCGCCGAAGTTGCCGCCGGAGTTGCCACCCCGGCCGGGAACCTGAAGGACCTGGCCGGGCCAGATCTGGTCCGGGTTGGGAATGTTGTTGTGTCTCGCAATCTCCTCGAACCCGACATTGAATCTCGCGGCGATGTTGCGGAGGGTATCACCCTGCTGGACGGTCACGGAAGAGTCGCCGCCACCGCCGCCACCAGAAGACCAGCGGAAGCTACCGTGGTCATTCTCGAGAATTCTGTTCAGGCTGATGGTGCTGCCCTGCCACTCGCCATCGCGACGCTTGCATGACGCGTGGAGGTTGTACTCTCCATGGGCGTCAAGACGGATGTCTCTAGCTGAACCGGTGAAGCCACCGCCGTAGTTTCCACTGCGAGGCTTGTCATCGCCGTGGCGGTCGTCGTGGTGTCCACCGTGGTGGTGGTCCTTAGGAGGGGAGTGAGGGCGGTCGTGCTCATGCTTCTGGTCGTGGTCGTGCTTCTTCTCCTCGTCACGCTTGTCCTTCCAGTCAGACACACCATCCTGTAATTTGTGGCCGGCAAAAGCTCCTGCGACGGCACCGATAAAAGTGCTGGCCTTGCTGTGGCCGTAGTTACCGCCAACCTTGTGACCGCCGAAGGCGCCGGCAGCGCCGCCAGCAAGAGCACCCGTCAGACCACGCTCTCCATCCTCACCCTCCGGGCCGTTGGATCCAGGCGGGCCGTCGTTGCGGTATCCCTGGTTGCCGTAGTTGCCTTGGTTCTGGTAAGGAGGGGGTCCCGACTGGTGCTGAGATTGGCCGTAGCCCCCTTGTTGTTGTCCGTATCCTTCTTGGCCGTGTCCATGCTGCGTGCCAAACTGCTGCTGGCCTGGCTGGTTTTGACCATAGTATGATCCAGCCTCGCCAACAGGAGGGCGGCCTTGTTGGTAGCCGCCCTGATGATGGCCTCCCTGTTGCTGGAAGCCTCCTCCTTGTTGGTAGCCACCTTGCGGGTATCCACCCTCACCGTTGTTGCCATAGTAACTCATGATGATGGGGTTTGATACAAAAATTACGATTCCAACTTGGATCTTATTATGTTGATGATCAAAGATGTCTCAGATTCAGATGCTACAGGATCGAGAGCTAAGATGCGGGGAAACGAAGGTTATATAAACTTCCTTGAGCCTCCAACAATGGGGTCAACGAAGCTTGTGATACATGTACGGATCTCCGTACCTAAGAATATTTACACCGCCGCCATGGTGGGGTGAGGCTTATGAAAGTCTCGACTCAGAATGTCCGCGCGTATCCTCTCTTTCGATCCAATCGGGAACACCGCGTCAAGGTTCACGGCCCACCGCGCAGACACAGCCCCGGGAGTCGGCACGGCTCTTGGTATGCAAACGAACACGTTAAAGTCTGGGCACTCTCGGGCCCCTGCCACGTAGCTTGTTCTGATGTTTCTAAAAGCTTCTGAACCGGGCCAAACAGACCCAGAGAGATGCACAATGGGACCATCAGGAGCCAAACGAGGCCCGCCACAAAGCCCCTGATTGTCTGTCAGGGCCCCCTTAACAGCGCCACGATGAGCTCTTTGCCCTGCACCCAAAGATGATAGGACCCTGTTGCCGCTCTGAGATCCCTTCCCCGCACAGTGGCTGGAGAGGAATGGCGTCAGAGGCCTTGAAAGGTAATATCCGATGTTGTTTACGTAGGGACCAGCCGAAGCAGTGGCAACTCAAAGCCACCGCAGTCATCGGCATGCAGTGCTCGGTACACACGTCCCTGTAAGGTAGGTATTCGTATTCAACAGTATTCAGAAGGGCAGTGTAGCTATGAACGCATCAATCGTGCGAGTCCGAGTCCGATTTCCGGACCTCAACACCTCGGAATTGTGTCAAGAACAGCGTGCAGCCCGATATGTACTGTAATCACGAACAAAAGGTGGTGGACTAAACCCGAGGGCTCCGGGGTGCCCGGCCAAGTTTCAAATTGACCCTCACCATTTGAGCTAAACGTCTGCGGAGCCTTACCTCATTCTCGTTACCCGCCATCACCGCTTCGTGTTCGTCGACTGCCGGCCGGATCCAAACCAAATCGGCGTGCTCGGGCCTGACGAATTTAGTGCGCTTGAGGATCTTCCAACCGCAGAACAGACAGATCGCGAGGAATCCCATGGTGTAGTTGCTGAAGAAGATTCCCATATCCCACCGGCCCCGTAAGAAGATGGCATACCCGTAGAAGATCTCCACCGCCATGAGCCAAATCAAAGCAACCCAAGTGCCATAGGGCTGGAGATATCCGCGGTAGGGGAGATCAGATCTGTTGAAGTCCTGAGCTTTCAAGGCTCGGTAGAAGAAGAGATAGTTGATGCAAATAACGATGTAAGTCACCAGAGTTCCGCCAGTGATGAGATTTGTGAGCCTTTCAGGTTAGCTCATGTTGGTCCACGTGGCCATCGGAACAGGCTTCGAAAAGTACCAAGGCTCAACTTACCAAGTCAGAACCTTCACAGAGCCACTGCCTACCTTGAGGAATGAAAGACAGGCAAAGGCGAGCGCCACAAACAGACAGTAGATGGGAACACCTTGCTCGGTGCACTTTGTGAGAAACTTCGGAGCATGGCCGTTCAACGCCAAGCCGTAAAGACTGCGAGAGGAGCAGTAGACATAGGCATTTCCGGCCGAATAGATACTCGTCAACAGTAGAGCGTTGACCAAGTGCGGCAGAACCCCGACGTTCATGTTCTTCATGGCAATGACGAAGGGTGAGGCTGCTCCGGTGCCCGTCTCGCCTGAGCTCAACACGCTCAAAAGCGTCGGGTCATTGGCCGGCAGGACGATGCCAACACACAGTGCACCACCAATGAAGAATATTCCAAATCGCCAGTACACAGACTTGAAGGCTGCCTTCATGGTTGTGCGAGGCCGCTGCGCTTCGCCAGCAACGGTGGCCAGGTATTCGGGGCCGACAATAGTGAAAGCAGCTTGCCATAGTGCGGCAAGGAACCCATGGAAGCGGCCCAAGTCGCCCTTGTCAATGTACTCGACAAAAGGGCCCTAGTCTCAAGGTAAGTCACTTGCAAAACAAGGTTGATAAGCGTACATGAAGAAAGTAAAGGTGTCCTACTGGCTTAGACCAATTCCGGAATCCGTATGCATCATGCTGCGGATTGCCTCCAACCATGGTAATGAAGGTGAAGAAGAACAATATTCCAATGAGTAGAAGTTTCCCTCCTGCAAGCCAAAATTCTGTTTCACCAAAGTATTTGACCATGAGTGCATTGCAAAGGCTGAGGGGAGGGTATTTTAGCATGCTTGTCCTTCGGTCTCAACTGACAAGGCGGGACCTACGCGTAGAGCACAATGCAAACGGTAATCACCGCAGCCGAAGGAATGTCGTCCCTCCAGAAGGTCAAGACCATGTCTAAAGCCGTAATCTCAAATGGAATGAGAAGAGCTTCGAAGAGGAAGAAGTTCCAGCCGATCATGAAACCCCACGCGTCGTCAACCCAGGCGCTGGCGTGATGGATGAACGCAGCGCTTACGGGCATGAAGACAGTCATTTCGGCAAGCGAGTTGTTTACTTGAGCAATAGCCAATGCATGGAGCACGAATGCAATAAGCAAACTTGCTGCTCCCCGCATGAGTCCGTATCCAATGCTCACAAACAGTGCAGTCCCAATGGAGCCACCGATGGCTACGAACTGAACCTGGCGTGGAGTAAGATGTCGTTGCAAATGGTCGGGAACGTGTAGAATTTCCCCGTTGACCACTTCAGTCTTGTCACTGGTTTTAGAATTCATCTTCGTAACCGAAGCCTTCGGCTCTGAGGCGATCGACGGAGAGCTCATATTGCCAGCAAAAAAGCTGACAGAGGATTGGTGGTTTGGTATCTTCAGAGATGTTGCGGATTTTTGAAGTCTGAGCAGCTTTTGTAGAGAAGAGAAAGGGCAAGTATGAATGATAGACGCATTAGTCTAGGGGTTTCTTGAGCTTAAAAATACCAGCAAATTCCAGTGTGGAACATTGGAAATCTCGAACAAGGCAGAGATCAAGCAGGACCTATCAATAGTTCTCAATTACCATTTACCTCGGATCAGCTCCATCGGTTCAAAATGCTTGGACACTAGGCATGGTGTCGGTCATAGGTCCAAGGTATGTCTGATTCACCGAAAACGTCATGTAACTAGGATGCTTGTCCCGCTAATCGTCCCTGCCAAAACGACGGAAGGTACATATGTTGTTAAAAATAACAACTTCTTTCTTGCAAGACTCCAGACTCACGCTTCTGCTGGGCTCAATTCTCATTTCAAAACCGAGCAGTTGACGGCTTACTTGCGTAACAAATTGCCTAATTGAAGGGGAGAACCCCGTCGCATCGAGCTAGTAGAACAGATTTGCGCACACAGAAGGTTTAGGGGCTGGCTGTACTTCGTCCGGGGTATGAAAACTGAAGAAGAATAAAGCAGCAACGCGTACATCATCAGCTTGAGCTTGCATCTATGATCTACATGCCGAGAGACCCCATTCGTAATATCTAGCCGATTGATGTGGGAGGTGGCGGCTAGAGCTGGCCGGATGGCATGGGTCGGGTATGCCGTTGCTGGCTAGATACCGGCGGTCGACAGGCTTGAAGCATTGATCCCGGGTGTAGAAGATAAGTCATCGGCATATCCGACACGGATGGTAATTCTCTGTCGGAAAGGATTGACTGAAAACAGATTCAGGACACATACTTTCAGAGCCCACGCCGGAAGCATATTCGAAATCAGACAAGTCACACCTGGGTCTACAATTCGTGCTAATACATAATAATGGATTGTATCATGCAGCACAAATACACGCATACTTCACCATCGTTGCCTTAGAGAGACAATCAAACGACTTCGCAGACTGAACAAATCTTTCGACGGCAAGATTCTAGAGACATAATGCAGGACTCTGAGCTCCAGGAGATCTCGTCGGCTCTTCGCACCGCCCGTATCAGCAAAGAGCCTATTGACCCACCAAGCAAGAAATGGACAAGTCTTGATCCCGATGGAGCATTCAAAGTCCAAAAGATCACTGTCAAGAATGCCGTTAGCCAAGATGGCGACAGAGTCGTAGGATACAAACTCGGCAATATCGCAAAGGTCATGCAAGACGCCTTTGGCCTGGACCAACCTGATTACGGCTTCCTCCTCGCGAGCACTTTCATATTCGAAGGAACGACTCTTAGCCTCAAGGACTTCATCAGACCTTACGTCGAGCTTGAGCCAGCTTTTGTGCTGAAAGGCCCTCTCAAAGGACCCAACGTCACTGTGGCGGACGTCATCAATGCCATAGACTACGCCATCCCTGCGATAGAGATTATCGACTCCAGAGTGCGAGATTGGGCCATCGACCTCCAGGACACACTGGCTGACAATGGGTCCACCGGCGCCGTCATCCTCGGGGGTACGCCTCGCCGGCTTACTGATCTCACCTTGAGCAACACTAGAGGCGCCCTACGTTTCAATGAAAAGGAGGTTATGTCGGGCAACACCAGAAATGTACTTGGCAACCCACTGTCCGCCGTGGCATGGCTAGCAAATAAGCTTGCAAGTTACGACGTTGGATTCGATGCAGGGCAGGTGATCTTGCCTGGTAGCTGCCTGCAGGCGGCGCCGATGCAGGAAGCCGGTCGTTGGTCTTGCACGTTTGAGGGATGGGGAACTGTCGAGTTTGATGTCGCCGAATAGCTGTTAATCTCTCATATCGCGATATTCAGGCTTCAAGTCTGGAAAGTCTGCTGGGTAGATTTTCTAAAACATTGCAGCCATTCTAATCCAAGATTTACGAACTCGTGCATGATGGCGTACTTAGTCCACGTCTACCACTTGCACCAGAACGCCTGCGGATTTTGTCCTGGCGCGACCTTTTGGAGGGCTCACCGCGAACTTACCTGGAGCATGATTTGTCATTGAACCTCCGAATTCGATAGTTGCCGCTCTGCAAGGATTTGAATATGGCCTTGGAAAGGTGGCGATCCTCAGATATCACAGGAGCATGGAGGCACGCAGTTGAACTCAGACGTCTCACGGCGTACCCGGAAGTGGTTAGGTAGTAGAAAGAGAGGCGAACCTGAGATAAGCCGTCCCGAATCCTACCAAGTCTGCCGACGCCCTGGAAGCCGAGCCGATCCCTGCTCCCGATCCCTGTAAACTAGTTAGCTGAACGCTGGAGAACCAGGTTCGATCCATGGCTGTTTTCGTTATCCCATCAAGACAGCACGGGTTGACAATTAGGCTTCAAGTCTACTTCCACGTGTACTGTTTCCGCGGGAAAATAAATGGCAGAGATTTCAGCGTCGAAGATACCTCGTGAGGAAACGATGATTCCATGAGAAGAACGGTGCCAAACTTGGCTCCATATAGCGCCCATGCTGGTCTTCGAGGCTTCTATCTACATGTAAGACTTATCTCATCACAGGTTTAAATATATTTATTTGTCCAGACGGTAGGCATCAGCATCGTCTTGACAACTCTCTAAGCGCCTCCACCCCTTCATGACTGTGCGAGATTGGTTTTTTATCTTGTCTTGGGTCAATCCCGCCGTATTCCTAGAATTGCCAGCGCCACGATTGTTAGCCTGTAATTCTGCCTCCTCCTGAGCTTGTTCACTGCCGTGAACATGGTTTTGCGGGGTAGAATACCTGTAACCCCGCTTCCCGGCAAGCCCTGCCTGTCCAGTCCTAGCCTTTAGTCACACGACACCACCAGACATTATCTAATATGTGGATGGCCGGCACTGCCGTTATCTCCGATGTCGTGATACGTTCGATACGTTGTTATTGCGTTCAATCCATGCCTGTAATTGCAACGTATCTTACCAGTCTTTACCTTTAAGTTGTATCAAGACTCACGCAGATTTCGTGTCCTGGAATATGTCGCCCGCAAGCAGAGCAAATAGAGAGTCCGACAGGAGGAAACTTAGACGGACAACAAACGCGTAAGATTCTGCTCTTAGACTAGAATGCCTCGTGGAGGGAGCCACTGATCGTATGCTAGGTGTATCAGTTGTCGACAAAGTAAAATCAAATGCTCTGGCGAGGAGCCGTGCGCGAACTGCCAACGGCGTTTAATGAAATGCGAGTACTCGGACGGGACCAACCCCATGGTGGATTCTCAGAGGTGTGTTACGGATTTCGACATCTTCCACCTCAAGATCTGAACAAGTCACTAGAAGAGACTCGGGAGTACGGAGGTATGGCGCGGAACATCAATTGACGCCAGGGAGCAAGCGGTCTTGTGGTGCTGCGTTCGGATCCGATGACGAAGATAGCAGTAAGTATGCTAAAGCCCCTTTCCCATGCCGTAGTATTGAGCTAATTCAAGAAATCCAGACTCTCAGTCGCTTGATCACAGGTCATCTCAAATGCAAGACTCTTCTGAGTGTGTGTACACAAGCCCTTTCACGCTGCCCTCTACGACTATTAAAAACACCCACAAAAACAAGCGTAATTGGAGTAAGTGAGTAGCTAAAGTATACCAGACGGTCACACTAATAGGTTCGACAGTCTGGCTAGCTCCATCTTCAACATGGTCTTTCACAGCCCGTCTCACCCTTATGATGGCCGAGAGACTTCAGGTGGAAACTCCGTTTAGTGCACCCAGCTTTCTAAACGATGAGATATATCCCTTGAGGTGGAAGGCCTCGACAGTAGATGGGCAACCAGATATCAGCGGGCTTCCTTCCATCGATCATGCCATCTATCTTTTCAATACCGTGAAGTTCCATCTTGGCCAGAATTATCAACTGATTGACGAACTGAACTTCGTGAAGAATCTGGAAGAGTTCTACTACGGTCTGGCATCCAAAAAGGCAGCAGAGTCGCCTCTGTGGTTTGTTCAGTTCTTACTCGTCTTGTCCTTTGGACAAGCTTTCCTTTCACGATCAAAAGACTCAAAGGAACCGCCTGGCGCTAAGTTCTTCGTTCGCGCCATGGCCCTGCTCCCAGAGACCAACTCATTATGGAAAGACAGTCTGCTAGCAATCGAGGTCTTAGCCCTGGCAGGTCTCTATTTGTATTCGATCTATCAGAGAGAATCTGCTCAACTATACGTGAGTTACTTTCATTCTGATCTAGCTATCCAACAAAAATTCATCTGATATGATCTGGCAGATTGCTCAAGCAATTCGGATAGCTCAACTGGAAGGCTTGCATACCCAACTTCCCGAGGATGCACTCGGGACTCAAGCGGTTTCTCGATGCCGCAATCTCTGGTGGACTTTGTACATCATGGACCGACACTTTTCCTGCTCTGTTGGAGTCCCCATGAATACTCAGGACGCCGACATAACGACTGTGCTTGACCCACCGAGTATATGTTCGCCGCGTGACGCAACGCTCGGCCTCCAGGTCAAACTCTCGCGCTTGCTATCGTCGATCATCACCAGTCAGTCGTAACTGCATCCCGCAAAGACTTTTACTAACCTTTCGGTTTTGAAGCTATTTACAGGTCCGAGAAAACCCCGCTTGGTGAATTTCTGACTTCAACAAAGTCCATACTTCACACGTTGGCTGGTCATGCACAGGAAATTGAGAGAATAACTCGATTCAAGTTCCAGAGCTCGGTAGTTACCATGCCAAAAGGAACAAGAAGCATTACCTTGCTCTATCATCAGGTCCGTTCACTCAATTCACTCAGTCATTATGCGACTGACAAAATGGTTCTCCAAGTGTGTTATCATGGCTACGCGGCCCCTGTTTCTGTCCGCTTTGAAACAAGAGTTGGAGAACTTCGGCTGGGGTGGAGGAGATCCACAGACGTTCTCGTCTCCCTTGAAGACACTGGTCTCGACGGGCATTAAGTCAGCTGTGAAGACTCTACAAATTTTGTCCGGGGATGATAGTTTTCTAGGTATGGGCACTGTCCAACCGTTACCCTGATTCTTCGAACGATTCTCCCTAACTACTAAATCACAAATAGAAGTCTTCCTACCGTTTGAGCTTGAATATGCCTACGGAGCTGCCATACACTTGACAATGGCCACCGCACTCTTCCCAGCAGCAGTAGGCGCCGACGAACCGGCGCGAATGCAGCAGACGCACACCATATTGGACGATATGGTTAGCAAAGGAAACTTAGTGGCCGAAGTTCGAAAGGCAGAGTTGGCCCATCTAGAGACTCTTTTTCGCGAATTCACTCGGCGGGTACGCGAACAAGACTTCGAAGGCAATGTACCAACTGGGTTGAATGAAGACATAACGGATCCGATCACAACCCAAGCTTTGGTCAATGAGCCTGACTTGGTATCTACGACGACATTGAGTGAGATGCAACCGCTCACGAGCGTGTTTTCTGATAACACACCAGATAACACTGAGTTTCTCGAAACCATCGGTATCTCTTCGGACGATTTTCTTTCAATTGTAGAACAGATGGGGAACGAAGATGATCTGCCATTTTCAATACTGGATTTAGGACATTTTTGGAAGTGAATAAGAGCACACAGGAGGCAGGAGCTTCTAGGTCTGCCGGTCGCTATCACAATGGATCAAATTCCATTGGACTACATTCTCGGCCTCATTTTATCATACATTGTTGATTATTCAAGCCGTCCTCCTCATTGAAAGGTCATCGCTCGCTAATTATAGGCTAAAGTCATCCACCGTCCTTATCCACATGCTATAGGCGACTACCACCCCGTGTGATAGTATCCGTCCCAGCTCTGATGATGCTGAACGTGAGGTTGTTGCATGTTTACTGGCTGATACAGAGGACTGTGTTGGTACCCAGAGTTCTGCTGCCACATGGGTGTTTGTACCTGTCCAGGGGTCGCCGGTGAAGATAATGTCGTCGATACAGACATTGCTGACATGGTCGAGGCGTGCTTCATATCGTATATGGAGCTTCTGTCAAGGAGGGGAACTCCCATATTCTGGTCAGGCTGCGTGACATGCGTCGCGTGGTAGTCGGCAGGCATATGGCCTGACAGTCCCTCCTCAAGACCGACTAGACCACCAATTAGTAATGTACAAACAAGGACGTACGTTGTTCTAATGGAACTTACAGATCAGTATGTACAGCAACTCAGCGATGATAGGTACCCAAGCTGCCAGGGCAAGAACTTGTCCAAAAGTCCACTTGTCGTTCTTGTCAATGCCATCAGCCGCGTTGATGATTTTCTGGCGGAAGTGGGTGAAGTAGCCCAGTATCCCCCACATGACCAACAAGTTGATCCACGCGACCAGCATTCGCCAGCAAGACCTCCATCTCTTGATCCACGGCTTATCAATCATGCCAGGAATCTTGAAACCGGTAGTGACAAAGAGTGTGAGAAGGAGCCATATCATCGGCAGCGCAATGACCAGGAACTGCGTAGCTTTGACGACGGGCCAGTACTGTGAGCCACGCTGATCGCAGTCAAAGTTTCTGTGTCCACTCTTTCGTTCTTTGTAGTCTATCTCCGCCCTTGGCGCCAGGTAAACAACCGTCACGCTCAGGCCCCAGAGGAGGGCAAGCACAGATCGATGGAGCCACTTGCGATGGCCGTCATGCTTGGCTAGTGCGTAGAGCAGCATGACCGGGAAGACAGAGTAGTTAGACGCAATTAGTGCCAAAGCTTGTTCGTAACGGGCATCGGCTGATGGGAGGTCAGGGTTGGTCTCTGAATTCTCCTTGAAGTTTGTTGCAGCCGAGTAGACGGAAGCTCCGAGCATGGCTACTGCGATCAGCATTGAGCCGCTGAGGAACATGTCAAGCGATCCGCGGAACGAGTCGAGAATGCGACCGCTCAGTCTCTGCTTCTGCTTCGGTCGCGTCTTCTCCCAGAGGTTCTTGTTGAAGTGGCGGCGCACTTGGTGAATCGTGAATGCGACGAGGTACATCGTTGCTAAGATGGCTTCGAGATAATAAGATACCACGACCTTCACATCGTCAGTTACCAGGTTCTTTCCCAGCACAACGACTCCCAGTATCGTGTCCTTACCCCAATGCCGCAAAGATCTTGACTTCCTGTGTATCCGACAGCCTTACAGAATTCGGCTTCACAATACTCCTTTGGACCCAACAGAAGAGTTTCATTGAATCGTGTACTCCAAAGGTAGTATATTGGATCGCTCGAGTTTTCTGGGTATGGTGTATGATACATATTGTACGCGAACCATAATGACACCTCGGAGTAGGTTGTTTCGTATCCTGTCGGCATAGCTGTTGCGTACAGGGCCATAGACAACTGAAGACTCATTCCTCGAAGTGACTTCGGATCCCAGGGGTCGGGTTGGAGCATCGCGGCCAGCCATTGGCCCCAATTCGTGCAGTTGCGGTTGAAGTCCAGTTGCTCCCAGGTCAGGTTTGCGGAGCCTTTGACCTCCGTGCCCGGAACCCAAAGGTCCATGTACTCGGGATCGAAAGAAGCCATTGTCGAGTGGGCGAGCGGCGGCTCTCACACCTGTTCAAAGTATCTATTCGTGACAGGAACAAACCGTATTTTGCAAGAAACCGTGGATTCGAACGGGGTACAAGCAGCCTTCCATGGCGCGGGGCACAGAGACATTCTTAAGGCTGACATGATCAGGTTATTCAATCTACTACCCATCCCGGCTATTTAATCTCCGTTTAACAGCCGCACCCTTTCTTTATCGTGGACGCATGGGATGGCTTTAAAAATTGGCCGCTCGACACAGCTGAACGTGAGGGCTGACGGCTAAGACAGATAAGGAACGAATCATCGCTACCTAAATCCCACGCGGAATGCCTAGTGTAAGCCACCATCCCCAAAGCGACCTACAAGCTGCCGCACCTAGGATGTCTCCAATAAGGATGGCCATTCACAGCATTCTCAGACTGCCACCTCGCTTGCAAAATCTCGCTAACGGGGGTTGGACAGGGAGCTGTGGAAGCTAGATGTTGGGGGCCGGGGGAAGTTTCTTGTTGCCTACGGCTAGAGCTTGGCCTCTGATTCAGAGTTGCTTTTCCCGGTCGCCATGCGTGAAGGTGTGTCTAGATTGCACGGCATGACAGCTCCATGGTATTGGGCAGATATGATATCTCTATCTGTCGACATGGCTGCCAGTCTTCTTGCTGCTGACCGCGATGCTGTGTCTGTACGTGTCTTTGCCAGTTGGATTTCCTCTTGATACCGACACCTTTCTCTTGCGAGTACTTGCATCCAGCAAAAAGGCAAAAGTTGTGCCCGCCCTCAGAATGCCGCTCTTTGCAGTGTTGGTCAAGGTCTTTGCCATATCGGAAAGCCCAGGGACAGTCTTCCACTTAACACTTGAACGGCTTCTTATGTTCTACCTTGCACCGACTGCATACAGGTCAGCAAATATGTCCTTCCCTGTCGGCTGTCTGAAAGATGGCGTACTTCACCCCCCAAGCCTTTGCATAGACACTTGCACACTCCACACATCGCAGCGGGATTGGCTGTATGTCTCCAGCGCTCTGAACAGAGCTTGAGGCGATTTGTTCCGAGCCTGATTGGCTGCCATACTCGTGATCTTCTTGGTTTTGTTGCAGTAAAGACGAGCCTCAGGCAGGTGCCCCATATTCTTGAGAAGAATTTGGCTTATTGTTACTCTGCTCCCCACTTTGTTCAACAGGCTGAGGTAAACTTGACAATGTACCCCAGTCATAGTCACCTAGCGGCCCGCCACTTCCGGTCTTTACCCACGACAGATCTACGGTCTCGAAGCGATGATGATGATGTTCTTTATGTTGACCGGTCGAGCCTTGCGAGTTCGAACTAGATATGCAGACGGACTACCAAACGAGTTGAAGGAGTGTTGAGCCTGTTGAGAAGATCTGATGGCAAGAGCAGAGTTATTATGGCCAAAAGGGTGGTTAGAAAAGAGGGAAGGAACGATCGGCAAAAAGCTGTAAAGAACGAGTGGCTTAGCACCGCCGTGCCGGCCGTGAAGAAGGAAGTAAAAGAAAATAAGTGCCTGAGGGAAGAGGCCTATTTTATGTTCAAAGGTGCGTTCGGAATGCGGAGAGTGCCCAAGCAGATGGCAATTGAGCGATGCCAGGTCATCCATGCAATCGGTTCCAGATAGCTGTAAGCCTCAACTCTAGATGAAGCGCTCAAGTGGGTGACACGATAGTGTGCCGCCCAGTACCTTAGTTCTCTCCATTCTTCCTATTCCTGCTTGTAGGGTACGTTGAGCGCGGACATCACGAAGCCGGATCCCAGATTTCCCAGCTGGTCGGGGGCGGGGTGGGATGGGCCCGTGGAATACAGGCTCTTCGATTGGGTGTTGGACATGGCAGAGCGGCCCGTCCTACTAGTAAACGAAGTCATAGTAGATAACTTAGAAATATTACTAGATAGATTTTCTAAGACAAGCTCTTTATTGAAAGTGTCCGCCTTAGAGAGCAAGAGCAAGCAAGCAGTAGTTAAAAAAGATACTATATAGCTATATAATCCCCAAGACCCATTTAACGGTCCTTCGACTTTCTATTTCGATAGGGGTTAAGAATCAGAAGTAAAATTCGGGGCATAACAGACATCTAAGAATAGGATATAGAAAGGTAAAGAAGTAGAGTCACAAGAAACACGGATAGAAGGTAGAGTTTAGCAAGATCCCGACACCAACAAAGCCTGGGCCTAGGTAACGCCGCCGAGCTTGAAAAAAGACGGAATAAGAGAACTATCTTCTACGGTCAATATTATATAGATAAGAGCGCTAGCCGTTCTCTTATCTACATTCAGACTCGCCGCTCATAAGGAATACCTAAGCGTCAAGATCTATCTATATATGTAGTGGTCGTAGAGCCTCCGGCGTACCTACGACGGCGAGAGGAATTACTATGGCCTCTAGTAAGGTTAGGGCGAACATAAGTAAATAGGAAATAATATCTACGTAAAGACCGAGAAGGCATTAATTTTAGTAGGCGTCTCAGCCTATAGAGTATACTATCGCCCTCGTAAAGGGCTGTTCCGTATCGAATAACGAATAAGCATGTTTGATCATAATATCTACCCTTTAGTAAGAGAAAACAGCGGGTTAGTTAATATCCTCGTCGTTGATAATGTAGGGTACGAGGATAGCACAGGAGAGAGGTGCACGATAGAGGTCATATATAGCAAGGCGTGGGGGCAGGCCAGGCCTATGGAACGGCAAGTACGGCTAGCATAGAAAGCGGAGAATTGAGAGGAAACCAGATGAACGACATCCATGGATCTCACTCCTCAATCTTGAGTCACCTTTGATACATGTTTTACGACAACGTCCGCGCTGAATAAGCTCAAGGGGGCACCACACTCTCTAGAGCGCATTTTACCTATAGTCCGCCGGATAGAGGGTGCGGAGTGGTTCTGTTCCTAGGCTTAGGGGGGGTCAGTTTACCAATTCCAACAGGGGGCCGATGGCTTACTATCACTAGGACTAGGGGGTTAGAGTAGATCAGTGTTCTTAAGAGTAGGAGGGAGACAACTTACCGATCCCGGGATTCAGGAGATGGGCAGCTCACTATTCCCAGGATTGGGGGATTGTTA